CAGCTCAGAATTGCCAGGGCGGGGAGGGGGAGAGGAAGCAGCCGGGGCCGCTCTGAGGCTGGAGCCCTGGGCCCCGCCCTGCCATCCTTTCCCTGTGACCTGGGCATGACGCCTGTCTCCTCTGGCCTTGGCTTCTCTGCTGGGCCACTGAAGCGACCCGTGGCCCTGCTCACCGCCCAGGGTCTCTGAGGATGCCTGCTGAGCTTGTGGTGCCTTCCTCATCCGCACAATGGGGACAATAACGGTGCCTACCTGATAGCGTGGTTCTGAAGATTCAATAAGACCAGGCTTAGGTCAGGACCTGCTGCCTGGTCAACCGCCACAAGGCGGCGCTGTGGCTTCTAGGTGAGGCTATTCAGCAGCGATGCTTCTGCTCTGGGCGAGGGGCAGGTGCAGCCCAGACCGCACAGGCCAGGCTCCGCCTTAGGAAGCAAAATGTTTCCCAGATAATCCCAATGGACACAGAGAGCTCTTGATCAGAGAGACGCACAGGGCTGTGGTCTGAGATCCCCGGTCTGAGACCTCGTTGAGGGGGTGGGGGAGGGAAGCTTGCCCTGAGGAGGAATCAGATGAGGGAAGGGAGAGGGAAAATATTCTGGGCATGTGCAAGGGCCCTGCGGAAGGAGTGTGGCCAGCACAGGAAATGGGCAGGCTGCAGGAGGTGGGCAGGGTGACCTGAGGTGGCCTGGGCCTCAGCCTAACCTCCCGTTTGCAGACAGCTGGGACGGGCTCCAGCCATGAAGCCAGCGGCTGCTTTGCAGCACGAGGCTTCACCTGGTGCACAGCTGAGCTCTCACAAAAGGAAGGACCGTGCTAGACGCTGGGGCAGGAGGGGGAACCCAGAGTCTGGGCTGTAAGCACAGCGACCCAGAGAGACGAGGCCAGGATGTGGGTTCAGACCACCATCTGAGGGAGGGAAAGACGTGAGGGGAGGCGTCAGGGTTAAAATATCGCCCCTCCGTTAGAAGGAGATGACACTTTACCCACCCCAGGAAGCCACAGGGGCGCGGGGCTGGGGCGGGGCCGCTAGAAAGAAAACCCCAGCAGGTGCACATGCAGCTCTGCTGGCTGTGCCGTCCTGCCCGCTGGCACAGGTTGTCCTGGGCCGAGAGATGAACCTAACACCCCCCTTTCTACCCCTCTCCCCGAAACCCGTGCGTGATGCAACCCATGGGGCTCCTGGCCTAAGAGCAAAATCACTCTCTAAACAGACGGAAGGAACCCAGGAGGCTGAGTCTGTCCACAGCAAAACCGAACTCCACTGACCATGAGCTTGCAAGTAACCAAATATCACAACCCACACCAGAAACCATCCACCACGTGAGAGATTCAACAGCCAACCAATAAGAGGACATGCCCCCCAAAGAACAGCCTGGAAGGAACAACAGAGGGCACAGAGCAGGGGCATCATGGGGGCATCAGCGCTGCCACCTACTGGCCGCCTTTCTGGGTGTAAATGGCAGAGCTTCGGTCGCAGGGTGGTCATGAGCACAGGTCCTGGGAGTGGCCTTGGCCAGGGAGACAGGGACTTGCGAGAAGAACCGGAAGTACCACGTGCAGTCCGGGCCAGAGGTGGGAAGGAAGGAGTGCCTGCGGACTTCCTGTGGATGAAGTGAGCCCGGAGAAAGCCGGATGTGGCCTGGACCCCTCTCTTGCCCTTTCCCCTGCAGCCTGCCGGGGCCGAGGAGCCAGCTTCCAGAAGACAAAGAGGAGTCTTGGAAAGCATCCAGCCTCGAGTTCAGATGGGGAGACGGAGGGAGAGCTGCACTCAGAACTAGAGGCTCCTCCCAGCTGGCCTTTCATCCATTCGGCAGATATTTCCTGAGTGCCTGCCATGTCCCAGCCACTGTGTGGGGTGAACCAGACAGACAGAGGTGGTGCCAACCCTCACAGGCTTATCTCCCGGGAAAGGCACCTGTCAGACATCTGGTGCCCTCGCTTCCTCCCTGCCCTGGCTGCCTGCCCGCTCGGCACCTGCAGGGGGCATCAAAGGGGGCACAGAGATGTGTACTTACACACCCTCCCCTTGGAGATAGGGGGCAGTCAGGAGCATCCGTTTACACTGTGCCTGAGTCACAGGCTGCAGAGTGCCCCATCACCACAAGAGGGCAGCCTTGGCCTCCACACAGTGCCCACGTGTGGCCCAGGCCAGCCAGGGGCTCTGCCAGCTCTGGGCTCCCTCACCCCCCCCCTCCCCCCAAACATGCCAGATTGAATCTCCTTTGGTGCCTGCAGAACCCTCTGCCAGCAGGGCCTTCCCTCGCTGCTGAGACCAATGCCAGGAGTCTGGCCTCCCTGTTGTGTATTGATCTGACAGTCAACAGAGGAGTTGATCTCAAGAGTCCATAGACTGATGATCAAAGCTCAACGTGCAGAGTCAAGGATCCATGATGAGACAGAATACTCATTGATTGGCCGCCTCCTGCACACCCCCTACTGGGGATGGAGCCCACAACCCGGGCATGTGCCCTGACCAGGAATCGAACTATGACCTCCTGGTTCATAGGCCGACGCTCAACCACTGAGCCACACCGGCCCAGCAGAGAGACCACCCAGTCATCTGTCTCAGCCAACCACCAAGCAGTGTTCCAGACCTTTCTAACTCCGCACGCTCAGTCCATCATCCCAGAACCTCTGTTCCCAGGGCCTGTACCAACATGTCCAGCCCGATCCAACTTTCTGTCCTTCCACCGGTATCCCACACCCTCATATCCATTCCCACACACCCCCACCCCCTGAGTTATCTGTATAAACTTGAAAAACCACATGGCTTTTTTGGTGTCCCTGTATGGTACAACTCCTCACACCTCACCCTTTAGGCCCGCTGGGACTCCAGTCAGGTTACAGGACTAGAGACAAAGAGGGGTGGGCAGGAGTAGGCTGTGAGAAGAATGAGTGTCTGAGGTAGGTACCGGGGGAGCCGGTTGCCGTTCTGCACACACAGGGTCCAACAGCTGCCTTAGAAACGGTGTCAGGCGGCTCCTAGGACACAGACTCCTGGAAGCTCCCCTGTCAGGCGGCCGACAGGTGTGGCTTCTCGCCTCGCTTGTGGCTACAGACAGAATATTTATCTCCATTGTTATTACGTAGAATGTCATTCTAACGAGTACCTGCTTGCTGCTTAGAATGGCGGGGGAGGATCTGCTAGTCACCGACTGTATTTTCCCAGGGCCCTTCACAGACGGGAGGCTGCGGGCCAGCCACACGCCCCCTGAATCCAGGCCCATCACGCAGAGTAAAGGCCCAGAAGACACAGGGAAGGAGCCTATGAACTTGGCCGAACTTGAGGCTTCCAAATGTTCGTGACCATGAGCTCATTCTGGGGAGCGTTTCCTCTGTAGAACTAGATTACCAGGAAAACCAACCAACATTTTGGGAACGGCAAGCTTAATAAGCTGCTACATTGGCCTGAGCTGAAACGGTTCATTCTTAGCTATTTGATAATAAAGATCCAGCCCTGAGTGGGCAGCTCAGTTGGTCAGAGCATCGTCCTGCGCCCTGGAAGGTCGCTGGTTCAATTCCTGGTCAGGGCACATACCCAGGTTGTGGATTTGAGCCCTCGTCAGGGTATATAGGCAACCCAGACCATGTTTCTCTCTCTCTCTCTTCCTCAATAAGAAAAAAATATATATATATAAAGTATCTTTACCTATGGAAAACAATGAAGATGGAAGCCAATCATTTTCTAAGTATTAATAGAACGTGGTGCGTTGTTATACTACATTTAGTAACTGTTGAGGAAGCGTTGACATTTCTGTGACATCCCCCACCTGTTAGCTGCCTTTAGCCTGTTGTCTGGTTCCCCCTGTCCTGGTGGGGCTCGGGCCAATCTGAACACTTGTCAGCTGTTCTTGGAAGCACCTTCCTGAACTATTTTGGGTCCATGGAATCTGGAGTTTAATCCTCACAACCTGACACCACAGGGAGAGGCCCCGCTCCGAGATGGGTGGTCTCAGGTTCCAGGCCCCTCACAAAATGCTGATACTCCTCCTTTGAATGAATTACTTCTCCATCCAAGACTTAAAAAGGGGCTTGGGATGGTATGAGACATGGAGATGTGTTTTTGCTAAGGGAAGGAAGCCATTTTCTCCTGATCATTCTGAGGGGGCGAGAGGAGAGCGTGTACTACAGAACTACCAAGAGGGAGGATACCAAATGCCACCACCATGAAGTCGGGGAATGAAACTTTGATGGGTTACTACGCAAATCCAGGAATGTGGGCAAGCACAAGTATATTCTCAGTAAATTAAGACCTTCATGACCTTACTTTATCATTTTTCATCAGTGCCAATTGTGCTTTTATAAAAAGAAGCAAAACATTCCGGTTACTTAAAAAATCAACAGGAATCTCAACTGTTGACCATCCAGTGGCCCGGGCACGGAGTAAACTGCTGAGACTCTCTGCCAGGATCAGTCATAGCAAAACTTTATTGAACAGAAAACCCGGCAAAGGTCTCCACCTCTGCGCCGTTGCCCATGGTTTGAAGGAAAGCAATGCATTGAAAAGGCGATTATACAGAAGTCTCTCCTAGAAAAGTCCTGCTAAAACATGTCTAGCAATTCATTGATTATATAAAGTAGTACACTTAGTGTAATTTAAACATTCCAACAGGAATCAAATCGCACCAGCAGAACCATTTCTGCCTCTATGACATCTATGTACAAACACACGTGCAGACACACATATCTAGAAAAGGTCCTCAGGCATAAACATGCGACGCTGACGCCCTCTATGTACAGTGCCTATAAACTACATACAACAGGTAGTAAAGCTCTTCAGAATAAAGACATAAGAAGCCTTGGGCATGTTTTGTTCATCAATTTGTATCATGGCTTCACGTCTTACTTTCGGCTTTTGCTTGATCACAAAAGCATATCCTCCTCCGTGTTGGTTCTTTACCAATTCTGTGCCGGTCCGTGACCAGGTGAGGACAGCTAGCTGGAGTCAATGGTCCAGTCCATGCCTGCCCGGGCCACCAGCAGCCAGCGGGCAAACCGCCTCAGTTTGCTATGGCCGGGGGGCCTTCGGGAAGGAGGGAGGCAAAGAAAGTCTTGAAGACCAGCCACGCTGTGCTCATGAAGGAAGGGCTGGTGTGCTCGCCAGCCACTGCGTTCCTGTCCGGAGGGAGGCGGTTGGGGTTTTCCATCTCAGCCTCGGGGCCTTCCTGTTGGTAATGAAACAGCGAGAAAGCAGTTAAGACCTGCTCCACACCGGACTGTGCTGGGCAGAGGCAGAGGTAACCCCTGGCCCCTGGCGCGGGCAGGGTCCAGAGAACAATGTCCTGGCGGGCTTGTTCTCCGGTCTCCATGGCACAGCCAAGCTGGTGACATTGTCATCATTTCGGATATTCTCAGCAGCAAGTACCAAAACAGGTGTAGCAACTAGATCTCCCACCACTGCTAAACAAGTGATCAGGTCACCCCTCATTAAATATGGACAGCCTCCTGCAGTGAGTCCAAAGAATTGAAATGGAAACCTGGGGTTCTAAAAGCAGATAGTAGGGAGCCAATTTATATAATTTAAAACTATCCTTTAGGAGTAGGCATTAAAATGCCTTATAAAAGTTCTATTTGTGTGCTATTTTTCAGGAAATCCATTCTGTGAGATGCTTATGCTCTTAATCCTTAATTAACTATCTATTAGCTGTTCCTATGACATAACACATGGTTGCAGACCACTGAACCCTCAAAATAGTGTTCAGTGGTCTGAACACTTAAAAAAATTATTTAAATATACCAAAATGCAAATTGCCATATGACAAAAATACCTGATAGGTGCTGTGACAAGTTTAATGTTTTCAAAATAGCTACCGTCAAGAATAAATAGGAGCCCGGCCGGCATGGCTCAGTGGTTGAGCATCTACCTATGAATCCGGAAGTCTTGGTTCGATTCCAGTCAAGGGCACATGCCCAGGTAGCAGGCTTGATCCCCAGTGTGGGGCCTGCAGGAGGCAGCCGATCAATGATTCTCTCTCATCATTGTTGTTTCTCTCTCTCTTTCCCTCCTTTTCTCTTTCTGAAATCAATAAAAATGTATTTTAAAAAGAAGAACCAGGAAGAAATCTTGAGCTATCGAGCCTAATGAAGTGGTAAACCAGGACACGGGATGTTTAAGGGCTGAGGGTCTGGGCGTCTATACCCCACACCACGCTCGCCGGCTCGCGGAAGCTCCGTACCTGTAAGTTATTGTTGGGGTCCTGGTTTACAGCTCCCGGGAGAGGGCCGTCATTCGGGAAGTGCTGAACCGGCCTCTGTCTAAACGGAAACCACCCAACGTGGTGCCTTCAGAGGAACACAGAAAAGCCCATCTCAGTCAAGAGCACAGTGAGGTTTACTCAGCAACAGAAGGGGCTCCTCAGCGGGTAAGGTCCTCCTCTCTCCCCTCCTCTAACCAGAGCGGCACCCCAGTTGGAGCTGCAAAGACCTTCTATCCCACCATCTCACTCTAACTCACCACCTCCCAGGCTCTCACTGGCCTGTCAGGTTCTTAAAGGGGCAGCACGTTTATTCACCAATTTACACTCTCAACATCAACAGCACTTGGCACACAGGACGTGCTCAGTAAGTGCTGGAGTACAGTGTGATTTGTACCAAGGGGGGAAAGGAAAGTGATCACGTGCTTACAGGTACATAACCACGGTGGCCCCCATGACCATGAGGAATCTGCTCAGGGAGGAGTAGAAGTAGAGGATGCTGAGGAAAACGGAAAACGTGGCTGCTGAATAGGTCCAGTCCAACCAATCGCGATTTATCTCGTCATCTTCTTCCACGATAGGGCCACCCTGCGCATTCATCCGTAGGTTTTGATTGGCCCCAGGATTAACCACCACTTGAGGAGCAGCGTTCTGGTTGGCTGGCTGGTTTTCGGCCGGAAACTGGTTGTGAATAGGGGCTGGAGCAGGTGCGGAGACCACGGGTATCTCTTGGGCACTTGGTGAGGGAACGAACGTCCCGGATGCAGCAGTGGCCGCTAAGCTGAAATAGAAGCGACAGAGGCAGGCACTGTTGAGAGCAAAGCACCGTGACATCTGTGGTTATCACCTTATTTACGCAGGGGGTTTACTGTGAAGAACTATGAGGAGGTACCTACAAACTTCATTTTTTCTTTAACGTGGAGAACTTTTCTTTTTCAAAAAGTGTTTTTTGAGAGAGAGAGAGAGAAAGAGAGAGAGAGAAAGAAGGAGAGAGGGAGGGAAGGGAGAAGGATACAGAGATGGAAACATCGATGAGAGAGAAACATCATGGGTTGGCTGCCTCCTGCACGTCCTCTACAGGGGATTGAACTCACAACCTGGGCATATGCCCCGACCAGGAATCAAACAGGTTCCCAGGTCAATCCTCAACCACTGAGCCCTCCTGCCTGGGCAGCGAAGAACGTCTTTACCAACAATCCTACCTACACATGCCTTTTCCACTGCTAGGAGCAGCAACAAGACATTTCGTCTGGACTGAAGCAGCCAGGCCACTTTAAGAGTGTGGTGCAGTAACCAATTAAGTTCTCACAAAGCTTTAAAGACACAGATTGAAAAGGAAGGAGCGTACGTGAAGTCAGGAAAGCTGTATCAGACACTAGCACCCCTACGTCAGGGCACTGATACACAAGCCAGCTAGCAGTAATCACACTGTACCTACCCCCAGAACCACGGGGCTCTGCACACACGGCGACTGGCCCTGGCGGCTCGGTAACGGGTGGGACTTCCCCCCGCCCCGGCCCCGGCCCCGCGCACCCCGGAGGGACTCACTACTGCATGTAGTACTGCCGCGCGTAGATCTGCTGGAACCAGGAGAGCTGCAGCCACCCGTAGGTCGTGTAGCCCGAGAAGCCAGGCCCCAGGCCCTGGAACGCCGGCTGGGCAGCCTCGGGCCTAGGAAAGACGGTTTAAATGCACATTTTGAGTTGGGTTTAGGACAAATAAGTAAAATCTGCATTTAAACTACGATCAGGAATTCAAATCAGAGACTGAAGAGTGAGCGTTACGACAGTTACTCGGAGGGGACAGTAAGCGAGCACAAAAGTACTGATGACACGCAGGTCCCCGCAGGATCCAGACCCCCCAGCGCGGGTTCTCACTGCGCCATCACTGTCGCACACATACAGCTGCCCCATCCTAGGCCGTGGGCTCCCACTCCCACTCAGGACTTGCCGAGTCTCACTGCGGGTCTCACCCCCGTTCTCCTTTAGGAAGCAGCTCCGAGAACACATTCCTCCCCAAGCCTCCTCTGAAGGAAACTCCCTCTCCCAGTCCCTCCCCTCCCTCCTCTAGGTCCGGTCTGTGCGGGGCCAGGATGCGTGCGTGTGGCATCACCATGCTTGCTCACTGGCCACGTGTGCCCTGTGCAGGCTGCTGGGCAGTTATCTGACTGGATCCCCAACAGCCTTGTGGGAAGGCAGCTCCCCCGTTTCACGGGGAAGCCCCGAGGGCAGCTCAGGGGAGACAGGTTGATTTGCATGGGTCACTGAGCTGATAAGAGTAGGGCTGGATTTGAGAGCAGTTTGTTTGACACCAAACACACTCATTTCCCATCATGCAAGATGTCTGACACTGCCTAGGACAGGGCATGGGGGTTTTGTGGGCTGCACACAGTGACCTCCACAAGATGGAAACAAATGGAATTGTGGGAGACCAGGAGTTGGTTATATGCTCACCTCCATTGGGTGAACTCATCTCTTAAAGCTATATGCACCGGCTGCTCAGAAAATAGCTGAATGCACTCATCGAGTTTAATCACCGTGACATTCACAGCTGTCAGGTACGGGCCTCAGGACTCAAGTTGCACAGCCCAATGAGGGAAGCAGTTTTAAGTGTTTCTATCCAATAAGGAATGCAACTCACATGTGACCATCTCTTTGAACCGAATTCCATTCCCAGCATGTTTTAAAGCGGTATTTCAGTACCAACAGGCCTCGGTGCAACTCATTTAAAGAATTACGGGCCATGGGAATTGGAGGCTAAAGGTGCTCGCTGGCTCCGGTGATGGCACTGCAGATATGCAAGCAAACTAAAAGGTTTTTACAGTGACACACCGAGTACGTAGGGGTGAAATGGTATCATGTCCCGGCCTTACTTTTAAATCTTCAGGAACAAAATCAGGGAATGAGGAATAGATGAAAGGAGTAAGGCGACCCTTGGTCCTTACTGGGCCAGGTGGTAGTTACGTGGGGACTCATACAGTTCCCTCCACTTGTGTGTGTGCTTGAAATGACCATTTATTTATTAAGAAACCCCACAAACTCCTCAAACCCCTGGCGCCATCAGTCATCACGTATCAGAAGAACGACAGTCACCTCAGGGTTAGGCTCCACAGAAAACGGCCCTTGTTCCTGGCACCGGCAACAGCCTGCGGCAGCACATTTCTTACCGCAGGCTCCTCACCTTTGTCACCCAAGGCCACGCAGGCTGCTCAGCAGCTGCCCGGCGCTCCCAGCAGCTGTTTCTCTCCAGAGCACAGCCATGCCTGTCGATACATACTTCTCCTCGTTTCACATGGAGGTGACTTAGTACAAATAAGTGAGAACTGCGCTTACATGACAAAGAGGCTTTGCAGTGAGAAAGTTAATTCATCAAAGATCTTTCTAGTGGAATGCTTATAAAGCAGCACTCTGCCCTTTTAAAGTTCTGTAAGCGGACAGTGTAAACACACCTTATTCTTAAACAGATGCAAATGTTGTATAAACCCAGCTCTTTGCTGTAACACTCACCTCGAGATGCTCTCCCATCCAGAGGGAGGAAGGGTCCGAAAAGGCTCCCTGGGCCGCACACCATCACCTGAGGAATCCCCAGGATACTGTCCCTGAGCGGGGCCCGCGGGCTGCTCTGTGGACTCAGCAACCTGGGTGAGTGCAACGTGAGCATGAGACAAAGGGCCTGATGCAACCGGCTGAAACCAAGCTGAAAGAATGATTTCGCTGGGAGTGGCTTATGTCCCCCACCTGACCTCTGAACGTAACAAAATTAAATAGATCAACGTTATTTAAAAAATATCCTGAAATTAGTTTAACACCATTTCAAAATATAGATATATGTGTGGGTATAAATAAATACACATATACACACACACACTGAGTGTCCAGATTTTTATGATCTCTAAACGCATAATATAGATATATATGAGGCCTGGTGCATGAATTCGTGAATGGGTGGGATCCGGCCAGCCTGATCAGAGGGATGGGACATGGGCAGTTGGCCGGCCTGCCTGCTGGTCAAATTTCTGGTCGAGGGGACAATTTGCATATTAGCCTTTTATTATATAGGATATACACCAAGTAGCCAGATTATTATGTGTTAAGAGATCATAATAATCTAGCCACTCAGTGTGCGTGTGTATGTGTTTATATTTCACTGATACGAGTAAACTATGTTATAGTTTCATTAAAGTCTTTCAATAAAGTTATCATTGGTGAGAAAGCTTCCTGGCAACTCACTGTATCTCTATGGCTACATTTGCTAAATCAAAAAACTAAATTTAGCCAACATAACTTATAAACACAGCCCAGCCAGCAACCAAAGGAGAGAATTTCCTTTGCTATGTTCAGCTGTTTCAGGAAATAGCGACATAATACCGATTTAGAGTGTGTCACTGCCTGGATTAATACACACTGTGAAATGAAACATAAATAACTTGGTCAAATATGTCTTTAAAGATCATTTGATAGAAACTGGCCTCTACCTATCCAACTAATCTCAATGAAATTTTCCAAAGAAAGTGTATTCACTTTTTCCTCTTTGTGAAAATTAACAGTTCCTTAGAAGACACGCAGGTGCCCAAGGCAATGAAAACCCATGCAGAGCGCCTGGCTATCTTCAGCGATCTGCACGCGCAGCCTCTGCGGTCCCATCACATCCCAGAGGACAGTGGCTGGAACGCCTTTCCCGCCACAGTAATGGCGCTGGCGGCCACTGCTGCAGCAAACTCTCACTTCATGGATAACTCTAGTTCCTAATGCTCACCGGGGACGAAACAAAATATGACGATAAAAAGACCATAAAATCTCTCTGAAGAGATTTACCCAATGTCCTTTCTTCCTCCCATCAGAGTCGGAAGAACACAGGGGATCCATTCAGACCTACCTTTGCGCCGGTTTCGGGCATTTTGGACGGACTTTTCACATTGCACACCAAGTGCAGAACGTGCCGGGTTTCCTGCTAAAAGAAGAATGGAGGCCCTTTAGCACCTGAACTCCGCCTGGCAAGAACATCAAATCACTCCCAAGTTAATATATAAGCCATGTACCTTTGGCAGCAAGTCCCTGAGATACTGGTTGTCCAACAGCAGCTTCCCGGAATAAATTAACCTCTGGTCCTCCGGACGCTGAGCATGGAAAGAAAGACAACAGAGTCAGCCTTTAACCCCAAGTTCCCAACCGCAGAAGACACTGCTCTGTACACTTATTTATTTATTTATTCTATATTTCTTTGTTGATTTCAGAGAGGAAGGGAGAGAAAGAGAGAGAGAGAAACATCAATGATTCCTACTGGGAATCAAGCCCACAACCCAGGCATGTGCCCTTTGCCAGAATCAAACCTGGCACCCTTCAGTCCAAAGAGCCAAACCAGCTAGGGCCACACATGTAATTTAAATATGCGTTTCTTCCCCACACATTTCTTCAGAGGCCCCATATAAAAAACTTTTACTAAGAAAGTGCTTTAAGTTTAAACTGGTCTCTAACATAAATAAGTTTAGGATGGCAAATGATCTCCAGTCCAAAAAACCAACAGTAACCTACTTAACTCGGGAAAACTGCTTTCTGCCGCTAGAAACACACGTTTGATTTGGGGCTCCCGTAGCAGCTTACTTCAAAGCGTGTGCTTGGTTTCAGAGAAAACTCAGCATGCTCCCAAAGCTGACTCCCACCAAACCCACCCAGCATGGTCCCAAAAGAACAGGAAGCAACTCAACTCAAGAGACATTTCTGGACACACAAATGCAGTCACGGAGGAGGTGTGTGGGTAACATTTCTACAACAACCTGTTTTAAGGCGGAAAGTCTGAAATGGACCTGTCGCAGGTCACTATCTCCTCGACAGGTCACTGCCATCCCCTCTTATCTATTCCAGTGACTGAAGACCCCGGGACTCCTCCACGCTTCCTACAAACCTCACTTTTAAAACCTTTCAGAATTGTCCTTAGAATCAATGGCCTCAAACGCCAGTCAGTACATTGGCAATGGCCAACCTATCAACCTTCTCTGGCCAGAAAAACCTATTATGCAAGACTTGGACTAGAACTCTTTGTGCCAAGTAGCATGAGATGATAAGACAAGTGGTTTAAGACAAACAAACAAAAAATAACCGCATCCAGCCGGATTTTTACAAACTGTGCAACAAAAACAAGTACAGAGACTGTGACACTGGATGCCGTGTTCACCACGGCTGCACCGATTGGCTTTGTCAGCCGTGCGATGCACGGGACTGTAAAATGCTATGCAGAGGTGGGTCCTGCACAGGAGAAAGTTCCAGCTGGAAGAACTCTACGATCCATAGCTGCCTGCCACTTCAATCACTTCCCCCAGTAAAGGCCTACATTGCCGCTCTGTATTTTTTTTACTGAGGAGGCTGATTAAACAATTAAACATGTTATGCCAACAACTATTACAAAGTTAAGGCTCCACACCTTGGAAAACAAACGGGCCCTCTCCAGCTCTGTTTTAAACCCACATGTACGCATCTGGGAGACCTTTCCTTTACACCCCCTGGGTCTTGGGGCTTCACGGGAGTGATACTCCCGGCCCAGGAGGCCCTCAGGACGGCTCTCCCCCGACACACACCGCCTTGTACCAAATGACACCACCAGAGACTGCACCTGCTTCCGCCACCTGGGTCCCCAGCGGCCATTGGCTCAGCAACAACTCCGCCTCTTGGTGAAACCCAGGAGCCCCCCCGGGGGGGGTGTGAATGCAAACAAAACAGGCAAATTTCAAAAGAACAAAAGTGAGAAAACTCACTTCCACATCACACAGCGGGCACATACAGAAGGAAAACCACCTCGGGCCGGCACACTCACTGCCACTCCACAGAGATCCGCCGGGCGGCCTGGGCCTCGGCCTCGGCCTCCTCCCGCCCCATGGCCTCTCCCTGTGGCCGGGAACACGCTCGGGGGCGGCCAGGAACGCCGCTGACTCTTACATAACGTCAGGGCGGAAAGTAAACACTGTCCGGCTCACAGCCTCCGTCACGTGGGCGGGCGGGCGGGGACCGGGGTGGCGCTGACAGACGTGTCCACCAAAACAAAGCCAGGAAGTCTCGGCCATTGGGGAACCGGGGACTCCGGGAGCCTCCTCCGGGGCCGGAGGAGCGGAGCGTGGCAGGGCGGGGCCGGGAGGCGGCGGGGCGGGGAGAGCCAGGTCCGGCCCCGGGTGCGGGTCCCCCTACGTGCACCCCGTCCCTCCGGCCAGGGGCCTGGGGCCTGGGGCCTGCCCTCCCTCCCCTCCCCGCCCGGAGGCCCCGGCTACGTTCTTTAAACTCCTTCTGCAACTTGTTTCCTCATTTCCATCCGGGGATTGGGGGAGGCGGGGAGGGAAACTGAGGCTTGAAGGGTGATCGGCCTCACCCAAGGTCAGGCTGCGGGTCCAGCGGCTCGGCTCGGGCCAGGAGCCACGTCCGGGGCGGGGGTCCGGGGAGAGGGTGGGTGGGCAGCAGGGCGACTGCCGCGGGGGCCCGGGACGCGGAGGAGACGGACCGGGCCGGGCAGCCCGTCGGGAAGGCGGGGTGAGGGCGGCGGGACCAGGAAGTGACAGCCGCCGGCCGGGCCGGGCCGGGCCGGGAGAGGGGTCCCCGGAGGCGGGGCAGGGAGGGGAGACCCCGGCCCTGGGGGAGGTGGCGGGGTGGGCACCCGGGATCGGGGGAGCCTGGAGAAGGGAGACGCGGGAGGGGAAGGGGAGGCGGCCGGGGCGCCCCTGGGTGGGGCGGGGGCAGCGGCCGGGGGGCTGGGCCGGGGCGCTCACCGGGCGCTCGGGGTAGACGCGGCTCAGGTGCGCCTTGAGGCGGCCCACGCTCCAGCCGCGGTCGCCGCTCAGCTCCAGGTCGCGGTGGCGCTGGTTGGGGCTCTTCACCAGCAGCGTGACGGGCTCGGGGTCGGCCTCCATGTCCTCGGGGTGCCGGGCGGGCAGGCGGCGTCCCGGCCGCCCGCAAAGCTCCGCAGCAACGACCGTCCGCGTCTCCCGGGCGCACGCGTGCGCGCCCCCGCCTCGGACCCCTTTTATAGGCTCCGCGCGCCGGACTCCGCGCTCGGGGCCGTGTGTGGCCGCCGCCGGTTGGCTGAGGCCGAGGCCGCGGCCTGGACGTGGACCAATCGCAGGCAGGCCCCGCGGGGCAGGGGGCGGGCCGAGCTCGGCGTGGGGCGCGGCTGATGCAACCCGCCGCGGCGGCGTCACCCGGCGTCTGGGCTGCGGCCCGGGGGCCGGGGTTCGGGGGCCATGTCGGGGTGCGCTCTGTCCCGGGGACACTGGGGGGTCGCTCCCTGGCTCCGGGGGTCCCACGGCGCCGTAGGGGGGGGGGAGGGTCAGCCAGGTCCAGCCCGGTCCACCCCGGCTGGGCAGCCTCTGCAGATTGTGTGCTCACAAAGCGGCACCCCGCCCTTCTGGACCCCGGGCGTCTCCAGGCCCTTCTCCCTGGAGGGACGTCAGGCCCTGCACCCATACCCACAGGGAGGCCTCCCCACCTTTCCCCCCCATCCAGAAGGGCGCCCCCACCCCGTGCACATTAGAAGGGCAAGGAAGAAACAGGGCGGTCCTTCCTGGGTGGAGGCATCAGATCCCAAGTGGCCAGTTCCCATGTGGCCTCCGCTCTGATCCAAGTTACCCCTGGAGGGTGGGCCATCGCCCTGGGAATGGCAAGCAGGCCCCACACAGCTTGCACCTGGAGACCTGGGAGAGGGACCCACGTGACAGGCAGCTGACAGGTGCAGTTTTGGAAATTGGGGCTGAGACCCGGAGGGCAGAGTCCTCAAGTTTTCTAACAGGTGACAGCCAAGGCCGCTCCCAGGCACCCCTCCCTGCTTCCCAACTGCAGGGAAAAGGTCTTGAAAACAACACTGACATTGTGCCGGCCCCCTCCCTGCTCCAGGCCGGTTGGGACATGTGTTTTTCCAGGTGTGTCATGTGGCCACTCACTAAACCTGGGGAGACCTGCCTGGCAGCCTTAGACACTCAGAGACCTCGGGTAACCACCGGGGACCGTCAGAAATGAAAACTTTTGTTGTGGTCGGTCCTCACCTGCAGATATATTTTCCGTTGGTTTTCAGACAGACGTGGAAGGGAGGCGGACAGACAAACCTCCATGGGAGAGAGACACATGGATTAATTGCCTCCCCCTCGCCTCCCAGTCAGGGCCGGGGATCGAGCCTGCAACTGAAGTACATTGCCCAGAATCGAACCCTGGACCCTTCCAGCCACTGAGCAACACCTCTCCGGCTGAAATGAACACTCTTTATAACCAAAGGCTAAAGGTGGGAAGTCATGTCTTAGGGCCGTATTTTTTCCTATCGAAGGTTCAACCTTTGCCTTAACCTGATGTAACACTCTGCTGTCAACATCTGAAAAATTTAGAATGAAAGTTTGAAGACGTCGAAGTTTTATAAGATTTTTTTTTTTTAAGTTTGAAGAAGAGCCTCTGTTTTCATTTTTCGATGGGTCCCCTGAATTAGATAGCTTTTCCTATGTCAGGATGGAAGAAAAAGACTGATTATGACCTGGTAGTCTTTCCACTTAGCCAGATGCTGACCAGTGGGGCCAGGCCAGATCCAACAAGCAGAGAGGCCTCCCAGGGGGCAGCCAGGCGGGGGAGGACGAATGAAGTATGCCAAGTGGCACCGTGTCCTGTAGCCGCAGCGATGAGCATTGGGGCCCCACCGGTGGCCCCTTGTCCAGTTGTAATAAGAGGGTAAAGGGGTGTTTTTCCCCGTAGGGCGGTGGTCGGCAAACTGGGGCTTTCGAGCCACATGCGGCTCTTTGGCCCCTTGAGGGTGGCTCTTCCACAAAATATCACGGCCTGGGTGAGTCTATTTGGAAGAAGTGGCGTTAGAAGAAGTTTAAGTTTAAAAAATGTGGCTCTCCAGAGAAATTCCAGTCGTTGGACTGTTGGTATTTGGCTCTGTGGGCTGATGAGTTTGCCGACCACGGCCCTAGGGAGGCAGCAATCCAAGGTCTGTGATTCCCGAGGGTTACGTCCCCATGAGCGAGCAGCCCCTTTGAAAGCTCTTTGTTGCTTTTGCCAATAGCATCTTTAGACAAACACAAGATTGGAGTCCACAGGCGTGCCGGGAATAGAAGGATACACAAGAGTGACCTTGCTCCCCCCTCGGCGACCTTACAGAAATAATGGGGGTGATAAGCTGGTACAAAAACACAGAACTAGAAGACAACCCCAAACTCGCCTCATGTTTCTGAAGGGCTTAGGATCCCATCAAGAAGAAGGGCGAGGCAGAGAAAACGGGACGGAAGAGGTGAAATCTGAACTCTGAAGGAATAACAATAATGGTAGCAATTAGGACCCAGCCCCAAGGGTACCTGTACACAGTACTTGTGTGGGCTCGGTGGTGAAACCCTGGACCCACGGCCAGACTGCCTGCTTTCCAGCCCAGCTTCTGCCACGTGGGAGCAAGGTGACCTTAAGCAAGTTACTTAAGCTCTGCTCCTCATTTCCTCATCGTTAAAACAGGAAGAAGAGGAATAGAATTGACTTATAGGGCGGTCAGGCTTAAACGCTATAACGCTGTTAAAGGTCCTGGGACGGATTCAGGCGCGTGGGAAGTGCTTCAGAAATGTCAGCCATTCGTATTTAGGGAACTACGGGTCCAGTTCACGCGCTCCTGAGGAGCTTTTTTTAAAAATTGATTTCAGAGAGGAAGAGAGAGGAGGGGAGAGAGAGAGAAACAGCAATGATGAGAGAGAATCATGGATCGACTGCCTCCTGCACGCCCCACAACAGGGATCTAGCCTGAAACCCACGGAATCTTTCCATGCCCACAGAATTTTTCTCAGACTGGCAAGGGGAATTTTTATCGTGTGTCGGTTTCTTTGCTTCCTCCCTAGAAAAACACCCAGCTTCCCCACGCGGGGTGCAGGCTACAGGCCCAGCACCAGGCACAAGTGTGGGAGAGAAACCACGGACATCACAGGAACAGCCTTGCTCAGTGGTGGGGCTTTTTCACCTCCTCCAGGAATGCACTTCTGCTTGCTCCCCCCTCCTAGGCAAGGCGGCCAGTTTTCCTCCTCACCAGCCACTCCCCTCCCCCCTCCCACCCTCTCATCGCCGACCTGGTCGGGCCAGCCTTGCCCACCCCAAACCACACCGCTCATGCCCATCTGCAAGGGTTGCCCCAGCTCTGGTTCTTTGTGGGCAGCTCTCTGTTTGTTCCCCAAACCTCCCACTGTCACCAGCCCCCCCCCCCCCTTTCTCCCGGACGGGCCCCTGAGCACCTCCCGCTTCCTTTGGTGACTCTGGCGTGAAACCACTGTCCTTCCCTGCCTCAGCCTGGCATCCGTGTGGCACCCTGCTGTCCGGCCTCCCTGCCAGGGGCTTCTCCGCAAGGCCCTGCCCACGCGGTATTTTTAGAAACGGAATGTGCTGTGGTTCCCTCTCGGGAGAGAGCTGCGGTCCTGTGTGAGTTAACCCTCACCGTACCCCTCATCTCGCATGGGAAATGGACAACCAGTGAAGCACAGGCCGCGCCTGCCTGGGCCCCGTGTCTTTCGAAGTCAGCAGTATTTGTTTTGTTTTTTTTTGCCTTTGTGATTTGTTTATTTATCTATTAATTTATTATTTTTAAAATAATTTTTAAAATTAAATTATTATTTTTGTACATATACCAATGCCCCCCCTCCCTCCCCAGAGTTTTGTGTCCATTGGTTGTACTTATATGCATGTATACAAGTCCTTCAGTTGATCTTTTATCTCCCCCAGATCTCCCCAACCTCCCCGCTGTAATTTGACAGTCTCAGCAGTATTTTTTGTGGGGGTTTTTTTTTTTTGGACACCCTGAGTTATATACAGCTGCAAGCAAAGCCAGTCTGATTTGCATATGCTCCGGGGCCACTCAGCCAGGTGGTTCTTCTGGAACATTCTGCGGACAGGTGAAGGAGGATGTGAAATCTGGAGGGGAAATTGGGAGCTGACTGGGCAGTGGATTGAGGGGTGGAGTGGAGTTGGTGGGGGGGATAAGAGAGGAGTCCCCGCCCTAACAGGTTTGGCTCAGTGGATAGAGCGTCGGCCTGCGGACTCAAGGGTCCCGGGTTCGATTCTGGTCAAGGGCATGCACCTTGGTTGCGGGCACATCCCCGTTGGGGAGTGTGCAGGAGGCAGCTGATGGATGTTTCCCTCTCATCGGTGTTTCTAACTCTCTATCCCTCTCCCTTCCTCTCTGTAAAAAATCAATAAAAATATATTTAGAAGATGGCAAAAGGCATATTTAAAAAAAGAGAGAGAGAGCCGAAACCGGTTTGGCTCAATGGATAGAGTGTCGGCTTGGGGACTGAAAGGTCCCGGGTTCGATTCCGGTCAAGGGCATGTACCTTGGTTGCAGGCATACCCCCAGTAGGGGGTGTGCAAGAGGCAGCTGATCAATGACTCTCTCTCATTGATGTTTCTAACTCTCTATCTCTCTCCCTTCCTCACTGTACAAAATCAATAAATAATATATTTAAAAATAAATAAATAAATAAATAAAGAGAGAGAGAGAGAGAGAGAGGAGTCTCTGCTCTGGTGGTGGGTGTGGCTGCTGGCTAGGGTCAGACTTCCCATGCACCCACAATGGGAGGACCACAGGGGAAATACACTCCCCACTCCCCGCGCACACACACATACACACTCACACACGCACACACACACACGCACACACACACACACATGCACACTCACACATGCACACTCACACATACACATGCACACTCACACACGCACACATACACATGCACACTCACACACACACATGCACACTCACGCACACACACACATACACATGCACACACACACATACACATGCACACTCACACACGCACACACACATACACATGCACACACTGAAACTCACTGACGTGGAGCACTTCACATCCAAGGCACAGAGAGGCCTCTGTGGACTGACACGTCTCACCTTCCCAATGCCCTGAGGCCCAACAGCGCCCGGACAGCCTACAGGGCTCCTGCTCACTCAGCAGGCAGAGGAGGTGGGGGGCCTCGGGTGCGTTCTCCACCCCATCTCCACCCCCCAGCAGCCACGACACTGACCCACCACGTGTGGGCCAAGCCCCAGCTGCCCGCAGGCCAGCTGGCTGGTGACACCCGGTCTGGGCCAGTGCTCTCCTCTCACAGACTGAAGCCTGAGAGGTCACGGTGCGTATTGAGGTCACACAGCCAGTGCTGGGGGGGGAAATGGACACTCGAATCCACGTCCCCCAGTGGCCACCCCGTGGCTCTTCCCTCGCCACCTCTCCACCTCCTGGTTTGAGGCGAGACTGAAAGTCTGGGGGACTTTTCTCACACGAAGGACACAGGCTCCCGGGGAGTCTGCAGACACGCCTAAGAGAAGCCAAGGATAATGTCTCCAGATAATGTCCCTCGGGCAGCAATCTGGCCACGTGACCGTAGACCCGTGGAAGCTCCGAGGAGTTCCGTCCAGAGCTGGAAAAACACGACAGCTCAGCAGAGCTGAGAAACAGCGTGTTCCCAAACAAGTCATTCCTCCCCCTGCCCCCCTCGTCCTCCCTCCATTACACACACACACACACACACACACACACACACACCCATGAATGTGTTTTTATCCATTTCATTGTTTTGACCTCACTGTTAACTCAAGGCTTTCATCCCCTCCCAGCACTCCCCCCACCAAAAAAAAAAAAATCTATTATCATTGTTAAAAATCCAGTCTCCCACCGAGAGAAGCTCTGCTTTCTGTATGTAACGCCTGAAGCCAAAGCATTTTCTGTGCTTGGATCCGGGTCTCCCGGAGGTCTGGAGAGGGCGTGTCCATCTGCCAGCAAACAGTTTTCCACATGGCACTGGACTGTACTCCCTGATGCGGTTTTATCTTATCTGGGGTAGTTGGGGGAGGGGGGCAGGGCGCTGTCCCCACTCAGTCAGCTCAGCCTGGCGCTGAGATGGTCACCCTAGGAGTCCTGCCCAGCGAAAGGCCAATGGGACTGGTCCCCTGAGACATGCCAGCGTCCTCTGGTCCTAACCCTTCATGACTGAGTGGGTGCATCCGGGGGCAGCACAAATCCTTGTGTTGCCTGAGTGCGGATAAGTGTGCAAACTACCCGAGGCTTGGCGTAAAATACATTCCTCCCTGTGGGCTGCAGCCCTTAGCCGTCTGAAAGCCCCTGCTCTCCCAGAGAGGCAGGCAAAACACCGAGGACGCATGGTTATGGAAAGCTCAGGGGGTGAGAGGCGGTTAAAGAAATTCGCATTAGGCCGGAACCGGTTTGGCTCAGTGGATAGCGCGTCGGCCTGTGGACTGAGGGGTCCCAGGTTCGATTCCGGTCAAGGGCATGTACCTTGGTTGTGGGCACATCCCCAGTGAGGGGTGTGCGGGAGGCAGCTGATCGATGTTTCTCTCTCATCGATGTTTCTAACTCTATCCCTCTCCCTTCCGCTCTGTAAAAAATCAATAAAATATATTGAAAGAAAGAAAGAAAGAAAGAAAGAAAGAAAGAAAGAAAGAAAGAAAGAAAGAAATTCGCATTAGTATGGAGATTCCAGGAGTCCTGCATCCCTCGGGCTCCTGTGTGTGTATAGTGGGTGGGGTGGGGGGGTCCCCCTTCTCCTGACCCTGGAGGAGGCACACATGGAAGCGTCTGCACAAACAGCCAACACGCTGACTCAGACTTGTCTCTGAATCAAAGATGGAATCTTAATTCGCTGTCATCAAAATCAAAAGGACTTAACAGGACGATGGATCCGCCAGAGAAACCCCCCCCCCCGCCCCCCAGCTTCCGAGGCTCCTCCTCCGGCCCCTAAAGCAAAGCCGGAGGCCCGGTCCGAGGGGAGTGGGGTCCAGCCAAGCTGGGAAACCCACAGTGTCTTCGGTCAGGTCCTCGGTGGGCGGAGCACGGGGGCCTCGTCCGTGGCGAGGTGGGCGGCCGGGCACCCTCAGCCTGGCAGGTGTGGCCACGCCGGGAGTCACTGGCAGTAGAAGGTGAGCACGTTCTCCTGGTTGCCTCGGATGAGGATGACGGGCGGGCGGAGGTCCTGGGACAGCGTCTCCAGCCAGGCCATGTACAGCGAGCTCGGGCACTTCCCCTTCCTCCCGATGGGCAAGGTGCTGAGGGCAGGGCAGAGGCAGGCTTTGTGACCCCTTCCAAGCCCTTCTCCCCAGCCATCCCCAGAGGGACCTGTCACCCGCCCCAGAAGCAGGACTCTAAGCGAACTTCGGCCATGGGGCATTTCTGAGTGAAGCCACGGCCTGTAAGGCACCATGGTCCAGTCCCCACCAGCCTCCCGGATCTTACCCCCTCCCACCCTCAGCCTCGCCCCCAGCCCTAGAGCACAGAGGCTTTCTTATCACCCCTGGGAACCTGCCCCAGGGCCTTTGCACCTGCTGCTCTCTCCACCCAGCAGGCAGCACCCCAGCTCTTTCTCTGGTTGGCTCCTTTGAATCATTGAGATCCTGGCTCAAGTGCACCTACTTTCCCGTAGCTCCCCTTCCCCCATCCCCTGCAGATTAGCTCTCCCATCTCTATCACACCACCTGTGTCATTGTCTCCACAGCACTCCACACTCTCAAAATCCTCATTCATTCATTCATTCATTCATGGTCTCTCCACACTAGAATGGATGTTCACTCATGAGCAGGCGGGTCTGTCCAATTCACTGGCCTTTCTCCTGCGCCTAGACCATGGACTGGTCAGTTGTGATGTCCAGTGGGTGATCGCACCCCTCAAGCCACTCCCGTCAGGCCAGCCTTGCCTCTCCAGCCACACACCCACGTGTGGCCACAACACGGCACCTTCACACGCGTGTCCTTGTCCTGCCCCATAGGTGAGGCCCCGGGAGCGGGTTTCCGCTCTCGCCCCGGGAGGGTCCCCGGTCCAAATCGCAATGCTGTGCAGGTAACTCGCTGCCCGGGAGGCTGGAGAGCCCTAGTCTCATGGCTGTTTCAGGCGGGGACTTCTTTCCCATCCTGAGATTCCAAAAGGAGCATCCGGATGCCCCAGCTGCCTGCCCTCCGAGCTGGGAGAAGCCGGCCCGGTGACAGGAAGTGGGGGCCCCGGCACCTCACATGGGGCTGCAAACCTGCAGGTTTTGTTTCAGCTGAACCTCAAAACAACCCGGGGGGAGGAAGCAGGGCCCAGAGCCGGGGACACCGGGCGGAAGGGACGGGGCCGCGTGACGCCGGCCTCAGAGAAGCCTCTGAGTCGGGGCGTTGTCACGCCCTCAGCCTTGTGGCTTTCACAGGGGGCCCGCTGCCCAAGCCTCGCTCTCTGCCCTCGAGCGAGGACACACATAGCTCCCTCCGGGCTGTCTGTGAGCCCCGAGGAAGACCGGCACACGGAGGGCACCTCGCCAGCGTCCATCCCACCAGCAGCTGTCCTTGTCGCTTGTTGTTCCGGACCAGGCTGGTGAGAGGCGCAGCTGGGACTTGATCCAGGGCTCACCCCAGCTGTCCCTGCTCCCTGCACCCCCACTTCCGCTGGGAAGGGAATCCAGGCCCCTTCACAGCTGCCCGAGTTTAAAATTCCACCCTCAAAGGCTTCACTGGGCCTGGCTGGCATGGCTCACGGGGTGAGCATCGACCTATAAACCAGGAGGTCCCCGTTCAACTCCCGGTCAGGGCACAGGCCCCGGTTGCAGGCCAATCCCCTGTGTGGGGCGGGGAAGGGGGAGGCCCGCCAATGATTGTCTCTCATCGTTAATGATTATCTCTCATCATTGATGTTTATCTCTCTCTCTCTCTCCCTCCCTCCCTCTCTCTCTCTCTCTCTCTCTCTCTCTCTCTCTCTCACACACACACACACACACACACACACACACTCTCTCTCTCTCTCTCCCTTCCTCTCTGAAATCAATAAAAAAAATAAAAAATAAAGCTTCACTTTGGACACTACCCTCTTTTAAAAAGCAAGGTCGCAGGACTGGGGAAGGCAGGGGGCACAAGGACGTTTAATCACGTTGGTGGGGGTGACTCTCCAGGGAGAGGGAAGTGGGCATATTGAAACCGAACTTCCTGATTCACGTTATGCCAGAGGCCGAAAATGCCCTCTGGGGGTGATCGTATCACTTTCAGGCACTAACTTCAGGGATAACGGTGGCTGCGTCTCAGGGCGGGGACCCCCCTCACTCCTGGGGGGCCGGCGCCAGTCCCGGACAGGCTAGTCCGGCTCATGGGGTGTGCGCGATAAGCTACTAATCTTTAGGGAAAAAGCCATTCCGGGGCAGGGACTTTTTGTTCAGAACTGCATCTGTTAGCCACAGAGAAAGGCCGCCTCGGAGCTAACATACATGCAAAACCGGTGAGCCTGCGTCAAAGCCCAACCCCCAGCACAGCTGTGAGGCCCCGGGCGAGCTGCTTAACTTCTCTGAGGCTCAATGTCCTCATTTCCAAAGTGTGCGTTTGTATGTCTGTGCGTGTGTGTGTGTGTCTGAGTGTGTGTGTCTCTGTGCCTGTATGTGCGTGTGTAAGTGTGTGTGCGTGTGCCTGTGTGCCTGTGTGTGTGTCTCTCTGTGTGTTTCTGTGTGTGTGCACGTGTGTGCGTGTGATTGAGCCTGTCAGACACTCAAGGTACTGAGCCTGTGTGTGGCGGGGGGTTAAAATAGAGCCACTCCCCAGAGTTTTGAAAATTAATCAGGCCCGCTAACGTGAGTGTCTGACAGGCTCAATCATTGCATGCTGCTTGTGATTTTGATGATCACTATTTGGCGTTGAGGAGGGAGTCTTTATAGGAAAAAAGAAGGGCCTAGACCCCCAAATGTGACCGGAGATGAGGTTGTGGATCCGGGCAGAGCTTGCTGGGCTGGTTACAGCTGGTTCGGCGCAGGGGAAGCGGAACTGAGACGCAGCCACAATCAGATAAACGGCTGACGTGGAGGCAGCCAACAACCAGACTCTGCCTCGGCCCCACTCTGGAGCATGGCGCCCTGGGTCTGAGGACGCTGGGAAATGGGATTATCGTGTTCCTGGGGCTTGGGGGGATTTCCGTTTCCTCGGAATTTCTGGGGAATGCGGGCTTCTGGAAGGAATGGAGGAACTGGCCATTCTCCAGGTCCCTGAAAGTGGGGCGGCAGTCCCGGTTGGAGATTAGTGATGCAAAAAATGCAGCTGCGTGCTGGTCCGGAGGAGCTGGCCTGGCCGCCAACGGCCGGCCCCTGTGGGCAGCAGCTGGAGCTGCCGCCGTGGGGAGGGACGCGGTGTGCAGGCGGCTGCTCTAAGGCCACTGGACTCTGTGTTCTTTGTACCGGCCAATCCCACCAAGGCTGGCGGGCAGGGCATGGCTTTCCCCGTGAGGCCTGGCAGGTGAGGGAGGAGTAGGAGGGCAGCGATGCCAGCAGGTGGCAAATTAACCTAAAGCCATCACAGGCCCACGTGGAAGAGAACCTTGGAGGTCATTCCGTGTCAGTCCTTTCTAAAATCGGGGACACTGAGGCTCAGAGAAGGAGGGCTGTGTGCACTGGGCCACACAGGGGGCCGGTGGCAGAGACAAGTACAAGCCTGATTCTCTGAACAGCGGTGGCAGTCCGGGGGAGGAGGGGCATGCCCACGCACCCCAGCGGGCACCCGCCAGCTACCACACCCAAGGAGACTCCGGGGAACCATCCCAGCACGAAGCCAGTCCCATCGCCTTGCACGAAGGCTCCAACCAGGCAAACTGCGGCTCTCGAGCCACATGTGGCTCTTCGGCCCCTGGAGTGTGGCTCTTCCACAAAATGCCACGGCCTGGGCGAGTCTACGTTGAAGAAGCGGCGTTAGAAGAAGTTTAAGTTTAAAAAATGTGGCTCTCCGAAGACATGTCCATCGTTGTGCTGTTGATACGTGGCTCTGCTGACTAAGGTGTTTGCCGACCACGGCCCCAGGCCAACCCGGCCCTGGGGACATTCTCTGGGGACCCGCCGGCCAGAGGCTTGGCGATAAACCCAGCACGTGTCCTCGTTAAAGGAAGCATCTTCTTTGTACAAAAACACCCATCTCCCTCAGCGCCCCGGGAGGCGCCAGGCGAGCCAGCGCCCCGGGCCTGCAGGCTGCCCCTCTGCACAGCCTGTGCTTCAGAGCATCTCACGCTGGGTTTCACGCTCCTGACACCATCCTGAGACTCCGGTGGGTTTTGAGCAGAGGGCCCCCACGTTGTCCTTTTGCATCAGGCCTCGCCCACAGAGCCCGTGAGCCTGGCTTCAGTGGGAAAACAGGTTCCGCAGGCTGCGGGCTGGCCTGCGGGAGTCCCAGGGGCCTCCCCGGGAAATGCAAGGAGGACTAGTACAGCTGGGGGTGGGGGGTGGGGGTCATCGCTGGCCACCTCGTCCTCCGAGAGAGTGAGGCCACCGTGAGACCCTCTTCTGTGCTGCTGTCACCTCCCACTCACTCAGCCCAGCCAGTGCCCACGGGAGGCGGCGCGTTACTGGCCACGGGCAGCGGCCATGGCAGCCGAGGGCCGGCCGGCCGGCTCGGAGCCCGGGCAGTGGGCTGGGGCGGCCTCGGCTCCCGAGGCCCAGACTTGGCACTGACACCAGTTGGGGGTGGCCGGCGGCCAGGAGGGCTGGGTGATTTCCCTCGAATGACCCGGGTCCCTTTGCCAAGAGGAGTTTGGCAGGAAGAGGCGGTGGGGCAGGGAAGAGCAGTGGTGGGGGTGGCAGGGAGCTGGGGGCAGGGCAGCCTGTGGCCAGGCCAGCTGGCACGGCCCGTCCTGAGCCACGAGCTGCCCCAAAGCACAGGATGGCAGGCCAGAGGGGGAGGAGGAGGTACGAGGGGCGGGTGGGTCAGTTAACAACTGCCGTGCAAACCAGCAGGAGCCGGCACACCCTGCGTGTGTGTATGCATGTGTGCACGCATGTGCCTGTGCGTGTGTGCGCATGTGCGTGTGTGTTTTTGTGTACACATGAATGTGTGTTTGTGTGCGTGTTCGTGTGTGTGTGCACACGTGTGTGTCTGTGTGTTTCTCTGTGTTTCTCTGTGTGTGTGAGAGTGTCTGTGTGTGCGCGCGTGCATGTGTGTGTGTCTGTGTGTGTGTGTCTCTGTGTGTGCGTGTGCGTGTGCGTGTGTGAGTGTCTCTGTGTGTGTCTGTGTGTGCGTGTGTGTGTGTGTGTCTGTATGTGTGTGTGTATGTGTGAGTGTGTGTGTGTGTGTGTGTGTGTGTGTGTGTGTGAGTGTGTGAACGTCCGCTGCCTGCCAGGTGGCAGGTCCACCTTTACCTAAAAGGGGGAGTGGCCAGGCGCCGCCAATGCCAGGAGCCTCTGCTTATTCACACGTGGACGCTCCCGCCTCTGCCCACGGCCAGCCCACAGGCGGGGACACGTGTTTCTGAGGACGCCGAGCCACCTCGCTGCCGTCAGAGCCACCGAGAGCTCGTCCCTCTATTTGGTGCATAAGACGCTCAACTCCAGGAGCGGACATGCTGGCTTTTCCCCAGACACAGCCGTGGGGTTTAGACTCCCTGCCCCAGGTCCCGGTCCTGCCTCCCTCCCTCCCTTCCTTCCTCCCTCCCATCCTTTCTCCTTCCTTTCTTTCCAGTACCTGGTTCTTTCTCCCTTTCTTCCTTCCCCCCTTCCTTATTTTTTAAAGTATATTTTTATTGATTTCAGAGAGGAAGGGAGAGGGAGGGAGAGGCCGGAATATCAACGATGAGAGAGAATCAGTGCCTCCTGCACGCCCCCCCACAACCCGGGCATGTGCCTTGACCGGGAATTGAACCGGGACCTCCTGGTTCATAGGTCGATGCTCAACACTGAGTCATGCCAGCCGGGCTTCTGCTTTTTTTTTTTTTTTTTGCTAGCAATGGCTCAATAAATGCTTTTTTAAAAAAAGAAAGACTCTGCCCTGTGAAGTGAAGCCTTCTGTTCCAGGGCACTCGGGTGAGACTGCGGGCAGACACGGCCCTCGGGCCTCCCGGGGGAAGGAAGCTCAGGTCCCAGCAGGGCCCCCCTCCCAAAGCCGCCACGCTGGGCGCCAGGCCCCCCTCCGCTACTCACATGACCACCAGCGCGGCGTCCCGGGAGTAATCCAGCAGGATCTCGTTCAGCCGCACCTGCCGCAGGGACTGGGCACCGGGAGGGCGTTAAGGAAGCTCAGGAGGCCCGGGCCCAGGGCCCCGACCCGGGAGAACGCCTGCCCCCGCTCCCCCGGCGAGGCCCTCCTCCCTCCGCACCCCTCCCCACCTTGACCCGGTTCTTGTTCATCTCCTCGTCCGAGATCTTCCAGGGGCAGTCCCGCCGCAGCTCGGCCACTGTGGCCTCGTCCTTGAAGCCGTCGTTGAGGCGGAAGGGCGCCACCATGTCCTCGAAGCGCTTGGTGCTGGGACAGGGCGGGCGGGCGGGCGGGGGACCGGGTGAGAGGCCTGCTCTCCTCGCACCAGGAGGAGCTCACAGGGCCCCTGGCCCCGGGGGCCCTGGTCAGGCACCTGCTAGAGGCAACCCACCCGTGTGTTTCTCTCACTTCGACAGTTCTCTCTCTTTCCCTCGCTCTTGCACTCTCTCTAAAAATCAATGGAAAAATAGCCTCGGGTGAGAAGTAACAAAAAACTAACAAAAAAACACACAAAAGCCAAAACCGGTGTGGCTCAGTGGATAGAGCGTCGGCCTGCGGACTGAAAGGTCCCGGGTTCGATTCCGGTCGAGGGCATGTACCTTGGTTGCGGGCACGTCCCCGGTGGGGGGTGTGCAAGAGGCAGCTGATGGATGTTTGTCTCTCATCGATGTTTCTTTTTTTTTTTTTTTTTAATATATTTTTATTGATTTTTTACAGAGAGGAAGGGAGAGGATAGAGAGAGCTAGAAACATCGATGAGAGAAAAACATCGATCAGCTGCCTCCTGCACAGCCCCCACTGGGGATGTGCCCGCAACCAAGGTACATGCCCTTGACCGGAATCGAACCCGGGACCTTTCAGTCCGCAGGCCGATGCTCTACCACTGAGCCAAACCGGTTTCAGCTCATCGATGTTTCTAACTCTCTATCCCTCTCTCTTCCTCTCTGTAAAAAAATCAATACAGCCGGGACCGGTTTGGCTCAATGGATAGCGTGTTGGCTTGGGGACTGAAGGGTCCCGGGTTCGATTCCGATCAAGGGCATGTACCTTGGTTGCGGGCACATCCCCAGTGGGGGGTGTGCAAGAGGCAGCTGATAGATGACTCTCTCTCATCGATGCTTCTAACTCTCTATCTCTCTCCCTTCCTCTCTGTACAAAATCAATAAAATCTATTTTTAAAAAAATAAAAATATAAAATACTTTATAAAAAAATCAATACAAAAATAAAATATCAATAAATAAAAAAACCCCACTGGCTCAGAAAAGCACCAGCGGCAGCTTTCGGGGCCTCACCCCCGTGGCCTCCGCCAGGTGAGCCTCTGGCTGCAATAAGAGAAGGAAGGAGGCAAACCGGAAAATAAACACCTGCGAACCCCTCTTCTGTCCATGAGCCCGGGCTAGGCGGGGAGGATAGCGCCCCTGCCCGTGCTCCCGGGAGAGAAAGGGGCGACTGTGGAGGGGCCGGCCCTTCTGCCTGGACCCCCCCCACCCCACCCCCACTCCCAGCCCCCCGATGACTCACTGCTCAGCCCGCGGCTTCTGGTTGATGTCCGGGAGGATGTGAACTTCCTGGAATCCCAGTCGGAACTTGCTCAGAAGAGAAATGATCCTGGAAGATGGAGATTTTTAAAAATATATATATATATTTCTTTTTACTGCTTTCAGAAAGGAAGGGAGAGGGAGAGAGAGAGAAACATCCACTATGAGAGAGAATCCTCGGCCGGCCGCCTCCTGCACGCCCCGCACCGGGGATGGAGCCGGCGACCCCAGCGTGTGCTCTGACCGGGAATCGAACGGTGGGTGACCTCCTGGTTCACAGGTCGCTGCTCAACCGCTGAGCCATGCCCGGGCAAGATGCAGATTTTTTTTATATATATAGAAATATTTTTTAATGTATCTATTCATTCCACACATTTATATTGCTTGCCCTCTGAGAACGCAGCAATGAGCAAAACAACACAAATCCTGCCCTCATGGAGTTTACATTCTAACCTGAGGGAGTGGGGGGGCAGACGATGAATGAATTCTGATAAGGCAGGCCAGCTCATGACGAGTGACCGGGAAGAGCAATTGAGCAGTACCTGTGACCAGCTCTGGGCTGGCACACCTCCCATTTTAATTTGATCAAAGATGTGACCAATAAAACCCAGTGTCACCAAGTTCTCCCTGGGTGCCGGCGCCCGTCAAAGCCCCTCACCAGCCCCCCCCCCACCTCCTCTGACTCCGGCAGGAGGTAAGCCTGGGTCCCCTGAGCAGGGACCCCTTCCGCAGAGTCAGCCACCGAGTCGGAGGAGACCTGTCGCTTATCCCATAGAATTTGCTGCCCCGTCTCCCGGCCACTGCAGTCCCTCGTGGCCTGGCCGTGGTGGCTCAGGGGTTGAGCGTGGACCTATGAACCAGGAGGTCACCGTTTGATTCCTGGGTCAGGGCACAGGCCCGGGTTGCAGGCTCCATCCCCAGTGGGGCGAGTGCAGGAGGCAGCCGATGCATGGTTCTCCCTCATCATTGATGTTCCTCTCTCTCCCTCTCCCTTCCTCTCTGACATCAATAAGAATAGATTTAAAGTCACCACTTATCTTACATTCACACACACACCCACTCACACACACTCACACACACACTCACACACACACACTCTTACACACATACACACACAAGCGTGGCGGGGACATGATTCTAAGCTCTGCCTCATTTCCAGGAGGACGGGCTTTGTCAGCCTTCCTTTCACACAGGTTTCTCCGTGAGCAGATGTGCAGTTTTAACATGTAACATCCCTCCCTGCCCCCGCCGGGATGGGAGCATCTGCATCGTATCCGGGGGCCACCGCCTGCTCCCCACTCACGCCTTCCTCTCCTGGTCCATCCTGTTGATCTGGCCGCCCACGAACACTCGGATCCTGCATTTGCTCCATCTCTTCTTGCGGCCCAGGAGGTAGGGGATGAGGAGGGTGAGGCCTGGCAGGGAGGTTCCCGGGAAGCAAGAGGGAAAATGCTCTCAGGGTGGAGCTCTCTCTGGGTTCTCACCAATTCCCATCTCCAGGCCTCAGTTTGCCCATCTGTATAATGGGCGTGTGTGTGGGGGTGTGTGCATGTGTGTGAGTGTGTGTGTGTGAAAGTGTGTGTGTGAGTGTGCGTGTGAAGTGTGAGTGAGTGTGTGTGTGTGTGTGTGTGTGTGTGTGTGTGCTCGGGCACGCACACATGCACTTGTGCAGGGCGCTGACCTCCGTCATCGAACAGCCAGTAGATGTCGATGGTCTTCTTGCCCTGCTCCGACTGGAAGATGGTGCTGGCCTGCTCCTCCCGCACCAGGGCCTCGGGGTCCACTGAGGGGAGCGGAGGGTAGTCACCGGGGCGGCTCATTCACACCACGTCTGCCTGCCGCCGCCGGCTGCCCTTGGCGGTGCACTGGCTGTCCCGGGCTGTGCACGGCTGAGGGCCTGCCTGGGAGGGGGTGACTCAGAGCACCCCACAGCCCCTCCCAGGTGCCCACAGGATGCCCAGCTCCTGCACTGGGGCTCCCCTGCCTCTCAGAGTGTGGGGTGGGAGTGGGGGGGAGACTGAGGAAGAACCCTGCCCCTCTCTGACATCTGAGCGTGGCCAGAGAGCCTTGAGGGGTGGGACACAGGCCCCAGGGCCTGCTGGGTGGGTTCCCACGGTTCCCAGACGCCCAGACAGGTCTGCAGTCATCAATATCGCCCCCCCTCAGTTACCCGACCCCAGAGATCTCAGGGCCCTCGCCCTTAACCAGCTCCCCTGCGGGCCCCCCCCCCCCAGCTGCCACCCGAGTGGGGGGGACCCTGAGCCTGAGTGGGCGGGACTGACGTGTGCCCGAGACAGACGGCCGGGCTCTGCCGGCGCTGGCTTCCTTGCCGTCCTCGGCCGGGTCGAACACGGGGTTAACTGTAAGAGAGAGGGCGGCTGTGTTCCCCACTGTCTTCGCCGGGACCGTTCTTCCTCCCCCTTTGGCAAGGAAGCAAGTCCTGACACCCCATCTTCCACGGATCCTACCTGACTCTTCCCGCTCCAGCCCTACCCGCTGGCTCTGTCCCTCAGACAGGCCCCCCACCCCGCAGTCCTGGTGGTGGGGACCCCAGACCCGGGAGCACCTCCCCCCAGGGCCCCTGCTCAGCAGAAGACCCCTCCCCCCATCAGAGAGGCTGCTTGGCCCCCATTTGTGTTCATGCATGTCTTTTCTTTCCCATGAACTCAGAGTCTGCACATTCATACGTGACTCTAAACGCTAAGCACTCTGTCCCTACTCTGTGCCCAGCGATCGCCTTGGAGACCAACACGTCCAGTGTCCACGCCCTCGTGTGTGGTTTCCTATTCCGGTGTCCACCTGGGCGTTCCCCTCTGTCGGGGCCCCTCCCACCAGGTCCTTCCTAGCCCACCGGCTCACTGAGCGCTGACCGGGCCCGGGCAGCTCCGAGGCCTGGCTGCCCCGGCCGGACCTTGAACGGACCCCGCCCCCCCTCTGCGCCTCCGTGTCTCCGTTTGCAAACCCGTCAGCTCTAAGGGAAAAGCGACTTCTAGGAGTCTGTGGCCTTCTTTCCTAACTCACGTTCCCCTCTCTTCCCACCACCACTTTAAAAAAAACCCGGGTTCTAGAGCTTTCTGGGGCGCTGTCCCGGTGTTCGGCGGGGCGTGCACTCACTGTGGGCCTGCATCACCTCCGAGATGTTGAGCCCCTCGCGCATCCTCAGGACGCACACGCCGTAGTTGAAGTCAAAGGCGTCGCTGGGAAGAGAGGGGGTGGGTTAGGCTCCTGCGGCCCCGGTCCCCCGGCCCCCCAAAAACCAGAGGCCTGGAGCTGGCCGGCCTCCCACCATCCCCTTCTCCTCTCTGGGCCTCAGTCTCCCCATCTGTGCAATGTGCAGGCAGCATGGAGGGTCCCCGGGACCCTCTGCTCTGCGGTGCGTGCACTGTGCTCAGGGGGATCCTGTGCTCAGGGGGAAACCGAGTCAGAGCAGGCTTCGAGCCACGTCCTGTCCTCCTGATACGTTCGAATAATCCCCAGGGTTCTGGCAACAGAGTCATGTGGGGGTGGGGGGGAGGGTTATTACTTTATTTCTCAGCCACAAAAGCCGAGTTTGGGGGAGTAGCCCGCCACGATCACACACGAAAGAAGGGGTTGTCTATATGGTCATGGACACGGGTCCGAGGGCCCCCCGATTAGGGCTGATCTCACAGGCTGAGCCCTGGCTCCACTGACTGCTGGTCTCTGGGACAGGGACCTCCCAGGATTGGACTCTGGGGGAGCGGAGAGCAGGCGTCCCCCCTCCCGCTGTCACTCTGAGAGGCAGCTGAGGGGCCCGGCTCAGAGGCTGCAGCTGGCTCTCGGCAGACCTGGGCTCAGGCTGCCCAGGACCGCACACCGCCTCTCAGCACCCCATCGGTGCCGAAAAGCTCCTCAGACGGCATTTCCCGGGCCCTGCACGGCGAGAGCTCCGTGAGGAAGGGAGTGGCGTTAACCCGCCCCCTCCCCATCATTCCCCAGGCTCCCCATCATTCCCGCCCTCTCCCCATCATTCCCCAGGCTGCCGCCTCCCGAGGCCTGGCTTCACCGCCAATCCCAGGTGCCATCTCACGTTCCTCAAGCTGCTCCCAGGCGGGCACAAGGCTTGCCCTGAACACCCACAGCTCCAGCTTCTCCCTAAAACTGGGAGAGCTGGCCACGCCGGCCGTGTTTCTTCCTGGGCACAACGGGCCGGAGCCAGGAGATGGTCTCCAGCTGGCCACCGTTCCCACTGCCCCCTGAGCCCACGCCCAGGCCGCTTTGCTCTCTGTGATGCCGGCTGAACCCCTTCTCAGCTTTGAACCCCCACTTCCCGAGGCCCAGAAACCCCACGGCCCGAAGGGACAGGCCCCGGCCGCACTCACTGCAGAATGCCAATGTAGTCATCCACCGCGGCCGGGTGAGCCGACTGCCAGTTGGTCTTGAACCCGACTACCAGGATGTTGGGCTTCATCCTCCCCAGACCCACGGCCTGCGGCAGAGGGGGGTGGGGGGGACGAGGCGGGGGGTCAGGCCGCACACCCCATGGGCCCTGGGCCGTGACTAGGGTGGGGCTCTGGGCCCGGCTGCTCTCTCCACCACGTGGCCAAGGACCAGGAAATACACCCCCTTGTCCAGCGTCCTGTCCGCCTGGACACACCCTGAGAAGGCAGAGCGGCCGCCACGGCCATCCCAGCGGCCTGTCCACGCCCGGCTGGCGCCCGGACCGCCCCCTTTGTTCTGGGTTATCCCCGCGCCCGCTTCTCCCCCGAATTATTTCTCGTCATAAGGGACCTGACCTAGGATGCCAAGCGTGGCATACTCCTGGGTCATCTAATCCATGCGTCTTTGATAGCTCCCTGGTTTTTGTTTGTTTGTTTGTTTGTTTGTTTACAGAGGAAGGGAGAGGGTTAGAGAGTTAGAAACATCAAGAGCCGAGTCCGGTTTGGCTCAATGGATAGAGTGTCGGCTTGGGGACTGAAGGGTCCCGGGTTCGATTCTGATCAAGGGCATGTACCTTGGTGCGGGCACATCCCCAGTAGGGGGTGTGCAAGAGGCAGCTGATTGATGATTCTCTCTCATCGATGTTTCTAACTCTCTATCTCTCTCCCTTCCTCTCTGTACAAAATCAATAAAATATATTTTAAGAAAAAAAAAAGAAACATCGATGAGAGAGAAACATCTATCAGCTGCCTCCTGCACACTTCCTACTGGGGATGTGCCCGCAACCAAGGTGCATGCCCTTGACCGGAATCAAACCTGGAACCCTCGAGTCCCCAGGCCGATGCTCCATCCACTGAGCCAAACAGGCTAGGGCAGTTCCCTGGGGGGGTTTTTATGTTTAAAATATTATATAATATTTCAAGGTGAAATTCAGATAACAAAGTTAATCATTTTCAAGTGTATAATTTGGTGGCATAACCCCAAAAGGAGATGCTACATGTTCTTTTTTTTTTTTTTTTTAATAATCTTTAAAACTATGAAAAGGGAGCCCTGACCAGTTTGGCTCAGTGGATAAAGCGTCCATCTGTGGACTGAAGGTTCGATTCCGGGCAAGGGCATGTACGTACTTTGGTTGTGGGCACATCCCCAGTAGGAAGTGTGCAGGAGGCAGCTGATCGATGTTTCTCTCTCATCGATGTTTCTAACTATCTCTCTCTCTTCCTCTCTGTAAAAAAATCAATAAAATATATATATATTTTTAAAAAAATACTATGAAAAGGGATTCCCGTCTATTGAGTCAGAATGAACACCTGCCATTTATCTACGCAGCCCATTTCACAGAAAAGAACACTGAGCAGTGAAATGACTGGCCCAGGAGAATGCTCTGGACCTTGATCTGAGCTGAGGATCCCTAACACTGACGGGTGTCTGCACAGGAAAACACTCATCAAACTCTACGCTTAACATTTTTTTTTCACTTTGCTGTTGGTAAATTATATCTTCAAAAAAACACACTCAACCCGACAACCGGTTTGGCTCAGTGGATAGAGCATTGGCCTGCGGACTGAAAGGTCCCGGGTTCGATTCCGGTCAAGAGCATGTACGTTGATTGCGGGCCCATCCCCAGTGGAGGGGGTGCAGGAGGCAGCTGGTTGATGATTCTCTCTCATCGATGTTTCTAACTCTCTACCCCTCTCCCTTCCTCTCTGTAAAAAATCAACAAAATATATTTTTTTAAAAACACATACTCAAGAGGGTTCCAGGGCAAGGAAGGTGGGGTTCCTGTTGCAGCCACGGGGTCTCCAGCCAGCCCCCTGGGATGCCCTGCCCCCCCCCCGGTCACCCCGCGCCCGCGCACCTGCATGAGGACCTGCACCCCGCTGCGCAGGTCCTCAGCGATGACGTCCGAGTAGAAGGCCTTGATCCTCCTCTTGTTCAGCCACTTGGTGTGCCCGTTGGCGATGGCCCGGAGCTCGGGCATCCTCTGTTTGCGGGGTCCCTGGTGGGGAAGGGGGGACGGGGGGGCTGCCATCAGGAACTGCCTTTGCCCCTGGCTTGAGACTCAGCCCCTGTCCTGCCCCGGAGGCTGCCCGCTGGGCGGAATGTGGGGGAGGGGGTGTCCCGGGGTGGACACCTCGCCCCAGGCCCCCGGAGGAGCAGAGCCCCCCCCCCCAGCCCGCCTCCAGGGGGCACTCACGATGAGCACGTGGCCGCACACCATCAGGCTGAGGTTCCGCGTGAAGGTGCCCACGAAGTCCACCAGGGCCGGGCGGAAGTTGGGGGGCCCGGTGAGCACCAGGCACTGGGGGCTGAGGAGGGGGAGGGGAAAGGGCTGAGCCCCCGGACAGAGCCACCGTGTGGCCTCTGGGGGGCCCTGCACACCGGCCTCACCTTCCGGTCTGTGACCCCGGGGTGGCTCCGGGCCCTGACAGATGGCGTGGTGGCCGCCACCCTGGTCTCCTCTGTCCTTCCTGCTCGGCCACCAAACCCTCCACTTGGCAAGCCGCCCTTGTGACTACCCCCCTGGTGCTCCTGCCAGCCCAGCGTGGCGGTGGGAGGACAAAGACAGAGAGGGGCCCTAAACCGGTGTGGCTCACTGGATAGAGCGTCAGCCTGCGGACTGAAGGGTCCCAGGTTCGATTCCGGTCAAGGGCATGTACCTTGGTTGCAGGCACATCCCCTGTGGGGGCTGTGCAGGAGGCAGCTGATTGATGTTTCTAACTCTCTATCTCTCTCCCTTCCTCTCTGTAAAAAAATCAATAAAATATATATATATATAGTTTTTAAATAAGCACATAACCTTGAGTGAGGATTAAAAATAATAATTTAAAAAAAAGATGGAGAGGGGAGGCCTGTCACGTACCAGCTCCCTGGGTCATCCCCTGGGTGGCTGGCTCTGAGTCCAGAGGCAGTCCAGGATCATGGTCAAGGGCCGCTACCAGACTCAGACAAAATTGGCCGTTTCGCTGTGTGACCTGGGGCCAGTTACCTAACCTCTCTGTGCCTTACATTCTCGTCCGTAAATGGGGTTAGTCATTCCCCACACCCCAGACGCTGTGTGGGACAGCGTAGGGCACTTGTGCAGCGAATCAACGTAAATAGAACCGATCATTGGCATGACGATAGCATGACGATAGCATGATGATCTAGCGGGAAGGGGGTCGGGGACAGAGCTCTGGGGGCAGGATGCTCCTCACCGAGGAGGGACCCAGCTTTGAAGAGGCTGGTCCGTCAGCCTCTCGGGTCCTGTGCGGACATTCCCCCGCCTGTCGCCCTGACGGAGCCCTCAGAGCAGCTTCTGAGGTTCAGAAAGGCCACCCTCTCGCTGGTCCCCTTGGTCGGCGATGTCAACCCGGCCCTGACCCCCAGGGGGGCACCTCTGCTCCTCTCTGGTGGGGGCTGTGCCCACCCTGCGTCTGCCCCCATCAGCGCACAGGGCACGTGGCAGGTCCCGGGCGCCCGCCTGCTCACCGGTAGTTCTTGATGTGCTCCTCCACCTCGTTGAGGCCCACGGAGTAGCTCAGGGCCATGTTGTAGGAGCCGGCCTGCACGGAGGAGCCCCAGTTCACCTCTGGGGGCAGAGTAGGGGGTGGGGGGGTGAGATCAGAACCACGGGGAGAGGCAGACACGGGGGGGGGGGGGAGGCATTCTTTAGGACCCAGCACCCAGGGCAGCAGGGCTGCCTGGCACCCGTTCTTAACCTTGGCACACACCATACGGCTGCCTGTTATCCATCAGGGTACTAAACTCTGCCCAACGGTGCCCTCCCTTGACAAACAGACCTTGGCACGGCCTGAAGGCCACGCTCAGAGGTAGAATTCTAGGTTTCCCCGGAGCCCTGCCCCCCCCCCCCCCTCCGCCCAAGTGGCTGTCACCCCAACATCCCTGCCTGCACGCAGACACCCCTGCACCCGGCCACGGGCCTAGCGTGCACACCAGGGGGCCCCTCAGGAGGACGGGCCCGGCCCGCGGGGTCCTGGGTGCCCAGGGGAGGGATAGAAGCGAGGTGTGGGCTCCCAGCGGGCACAGTCCCATAGGCCCCGCCGCCACGGGAGCCGGGAGCCCGGGGAAGGGCCGTTAGCGGGGCTGAGGGCCGGACGGCCTGTGGGTGGCCCGGGGCAGGAGTGGGGGCACCCTGGGCCCTGGCAGCCCCTCGGGCACCTGGCTTCTTGTAGATGACGTAGAGCAGCAGGAAGAGGACCACACCGATGGCGATGAGGGCCGCCCACCAGGTGAGCAGGAACATGATGACCACGGAGATGACCGCCCCGAACAGCGCCGCCCACTTGCTGTAGTACCGGAAGGAGGGCCGCCACCCTGGGGGGCACGCAGGTCAGGGGGCACGCTGGATGCTGCAGGGCAGGCCTGGGTGGCAATGCCAGCAGGGCCCAGAGCCGGGGTCCCAGCCTGTGCCCACCCTCCTACCCGGCCTCCTGGGGCTGAGCCTGGAGGGGCATGGGAGGACCTCACACCCTTTTTTTTTTTAAAAATATATTTTATTGATTTTCTACAGAGAGGAAGGGAGAAGGGTAGAGAGCTAGAAACACTGATGAGAGAGAAACACCGATCAGCTGCCACCTGCACACTCCTCATTAGTCAGGTGACCAGACATCCCGCTTTTGGCCAGTTTGTCCCGCCAAAAGCGGGACGTCTGGTTACCTTACCCGTGAGGGATGTGCCCCCAACCCAGGTACACGCCCTTGACCGGCATCGAACCCGGGACCCCTCAGTCGGCAGGCCGGTGCTCTATCCACTAAGCCACACCGGTTCCGGCTCCCCACGCCCTTCTTGGCTGGTGTTCTGCCCCCTCAACAGGCGACACGGAGGAGCAGGCAGCCAGCTCCGGCCACCGAGGGCCACGAGACATCGGCGTCAGCGATCGCACGGCTCCGGGCAGGCCGAGCCGAGGGGCGGCAGAGGGCAGGAATGGACTCTGCCCGGCTCCACCCTGCAGCCCACCCAGGGGTGCAAGCGACAGCCGAGGGTCCCAGGTTCCATTCCAGTCAGGGGCACATGCCCAGGTTTTGGGCTCGATCCCCCGGAAGGGGGCATGCAGGAGGCAGCCCATCACTGATGCTCTCTCATCATGGATGTTTCTATCTCTCTCTCCCCCTCCCTTCCTCTCTGAAATCAATAAAAATATATTAAAAATAAATAAATAATGCCGAAACCTGTTTGGCTCAATGGATAGAGCGTCGGCTTGGGACTGAAGGGACCCGGGTTCGATTCCGGTCAAGGGCATGTACCTTGGTTGCGGGCATATCCCCGGTAGGGGGTGTGCAAGAGGCAGCTGATCGATGACTCTCTCTCATCGATGTTTCTAACTCTCTCTCTCTCTCACTTCCTCTCTGTACAAAAAAATCAATAAAATATATTTTAAAAAATAAATAAATAATAAATAAATGGTGCCTTTCGTTGGTTTGGGTTTGAGAGGGGACCTGGGTCTGCCCACCGGTGTCCATGCCTCCCGTCACCCCCTCCCCCGCTTCATCCCCTGAGCCGGAGGGAGGGGGCTGCTCACCGGGCGAGTTGGTGATGGAGGCGTGGAAGCAGCTGAAGTTGATGAGGGCGTAGGAGCACAGGAAGAAGTTGGAGATGATGGGGGCGATGGTGTTGAGCTCGGCTTCGGGGACCCGGGAGGGGGGGGAGTGGAAGAGAGAGATCAGCCTGTGCGCAGCTCTGCCCAAGGAGCCAGCTGGCACCAGCCTCCCGTGTGGGGCACCCCAGACAGCCTCCGAGGCTCAGCGAGCCTCCGCCTTCTCGGCTGTGCAATGGGCCCGGCCTTCGGCGAAGCTCAGAGGGCCCATGTCCTGTAAACTGTCACGTGCCGGCTTTGAAGGGGACGGAGAGCGACGTGAGCGTGGACCCCACCCTGGGATGGGGCGACCGAGGGAACAGGGGCCGCCACCGTGGCTGTGGGGCCACAGATTACGGTAAGAAATACATTCGATCTGAAACCCTGAGGCCGTATCACCGTCCCCCTAACAGCGGAAGCTGCTCAAGACCTGCCCCCCCGCCTCCCCGGGCACCCCTGGGAATGCTTGTCCCGGGGCCTGCTTCCAGGGACCCCCAAACAAGACAAGCACCCCGTCTGCATAGGACCCCCCTGAGTGGCAGCAGGAGCCCCGCCCCAGAGCCTCTGAGGTCCCGTCTCAGACCCCCCAGATCCAAGGGCATCGGATCCCAATCAGGGTGGGCTGTGGGGGGCCCCTCAGGGCACAGCCAATGCACCGATGTTTCTCACACGGACCCCTGCCAGGCCGGCGGGGCGCCAGGCACGCAGGTGAGCAGCGGGGACAGGAGCCCAGGCGGCCGCTCACCGATGATGATGAAGGCCACGGCGATGGCGTAGGCCAGCAGGTAGCCGCGGACCGGCTCCTTGTTCTTGCCGTAGCCCTTGCCGAAGAAGCCGATCAGGGGGTACAGCTGGTCCTCGCACAGGCACTGCGGGCACAGGGCACACGCTCAGCCTGTGGCCGGCCGGGACCCCTCCCTCCCTCCTCTCCCGCCTCCCCCCTGCAGCCGCCGGGACCCGGCTGCCTGCTCCCTCCGGACCTGGCTTCTGTTAAAGGGGTAACCCCACCCTGCCCCCCCGCCCCCGCTCCCCAGGAAGACAGCGAACAGGGAAGATGAGAGGGTGGCTGGCATGCGGTGAGATGGCAGGGAGGGCAGACAGGGTGCCGGGCTGCACAAGGGGGAGTTTGGGGGCGGGAAACACAACCCCCACAGGAGGGCGCTGCTTCCTGCAGAGCTGGCTCGCCGGCCCCTTCGCTCCAGTCCAGACGCCTGTCACCTGTCAGTGCCCGGTTCCTGATGCATCCCCCGGGGACCCTGCTCCTGGACTGCAGGGCACCGACCAGCCTCCTCCCCCCGCTCACCTGGAAGACCTTGGCAGCCGAGACGAGGCAGGCCAGGGCGGAGGACAGGGTGGCCCCGAAGATGCCGGCCGTGATCAGGGGTGCGAAGCCGGAGACCATGCTCATCGTCTGCGGGGACACGGGGTTCAGGGCAGGCCTGGTGGGGGGACGGGCCCGGAGCCCCCACCTGGGGCACCCCAGCTGCCTCTTCTCACGAGGGCTGGGTCCCGCCGCCTCCATCGGATTCCACAACCATCCCCCGGGGTCCCAGTGGCCACCCTGGCGGGGACTGAGCCCAAACTTCTTCCCCCCATGCCTGGGCCCAGCCCCCCCGAACCATGTCTGTCCAGGGGGGTGGCCTCCCGGCCGGCGGGGCACCTGGTAGTAGTTGATGAGGCCGTAGTGGCAGCTCTGCTGCTGGGCGCACTCGGTGAAGTTCCAGCCGTAGCCGCAGGCCAGCCCCTCGCAGCCGCCCAGGCCCGGGGTCACCGTGTCGTTCAGGCTCCCGGAGGCATCACGGACCACGCAGGAGCCTGAGGAGGGAGGAGGGCTGGGGAGGGCTGCTCCCTTCCCTCTGCTCTCCTCCCTGCGTCCCACCCCCAACACGCTGGCCACTCTGCAGAGAGGGGGATGCTGCCGATGTGATAGGACGATGTAATAATAATAACAATAATAATAGCCCGAATCGGTGTGGCTCAGTAGACAAGAGCGTCAGCCTGCGGACTGAAGGGTCCCGGGTTCGATTCCGGTCAAGGGCATGTACCTCGGTTGCAGGCACATCCCCAGTAGAGAGTGTGCAGGAGGCAGCTGATAGGTGTTTCTCTCTCATCGATGTTTCTAGCTCTCTATCCCCCTCCCTTCCTCTGTAAAAAATCAATAAAATATATATTTTTAAAAATAATGATGATGATAGTGAAGACACTGATAGTCGCTAACACACAGGAGCACCCCTTGTGTGCGAGGCCCAGGCGTGGGGAGCAGGTGTGTTACTGGTACTTTTTTTATTTTTTATTTTTGGTGCTTTTATTGTCTTGCTCCAGAGCACAGTGCGCTCAGGTGACCTCTCTGAGGTCCCAGTGTCCTCCTCAAAGCGGAGGCCTGGGCCGCAGACCTGCCCGGCTGGGACCCGGCCCGCGTCCCTCGGCCATCGGCGAGTAGCTTCCCTCATGAGGAGCAAGGGGTCTTGGGAGAGGCAGGGGCCCGCAGCTCCGGCCTGGCTCAGAGCCCGGCTCCGCCGCCTCTGTCTCTGCCGCGGCCAATGCCTTCTCGCCGGCTGTCCTACGCTTTGTCTCTGGATGGAAATCTTTTCCTCCTGAGGACGAGCACTGTCACCTCGCCGACAACATGACGGCTATTCCTGTCGCCGGAACATGGGTTCCACACCCTGCTCTGACCCTCCCCGCCATGGAGATGCTCTGGTCACCACCAGGTGCCCTCAAAATAAGGTTCCACTCAGGCCGGCGTGGCTCAGGGGTTGAGTGTTGACCTATGAACCAGGAGAGGTCACGGTTCGATTCCCGGTCAGGGCACATGCCTGGGTTGTGGGCTTGATCCCCAGTGCGGGGCATGCAGGAGGCAGCCAGTCCATGATTCCCTCTCATCATTGATGTTTCTCTCTCTCTCTCTCTCTCCCCCTCCCTTCCTCTCTGAAATCAATACAAAAATATTTTTAAAATAAAATAAAAATAAGGTCTAAGCCTCTACTTCTTGGGGTTGCCAAGTCCTCCCAGCCCAGCTCTCCCTGTTAGAGATCTGAACCCCATGCTGGGACCCCCGTCTCCCCAGCGCTCTGGGCGCTCCTTACCGATGGTGGCCGAGATGGCCAGGTAGGAGATGGTGGTCCAGAAAATGGCCATGAGTGTCCCCTTGGGAATGGCGATGGCAGGGTCCTGGGAGGGAGGCAGAGCGGCATCAGCGATCCCAGCCCCAGCCCTTGTCTGAGGCTCAGGATGGGGCCCAGAGGAGAAGGGACTTTGGGATTGGGGGCTTACAGGACAGGCCACTGCCAAGGTCACAGGGCTGAGACCTCTCCCAGGGCCTGGGAGCCCAAAGCGGGGATGGAAACACTGGCCAGCTCCAGGCCAGTCCGTTTTATGTTTGGCTGTAGCCACCGGCAGGAAACAGGAAACAAGAAATACTCACTCACACCTCTCATTCACTACATTTCCCCACTCATCGCTCAACACACATGCACTGAGCGCCTTGTATGAGTCTGACCGTTAGCCGGACAGAGATACAGCTGTGGGCCTCAGTCCTCCCAAGACAATAAGGCCCTGACAGCATTACTCTAAGACAGTGGTGGGCAAACTGCGGCTCTTGAGCCACATGCAGCTCGTGAGCCCCAGTTTGCCGCTCTGTTGACTAATGAGTTTGCCGACCACTGGGACAGGGGCTTAATCACAAGGAACAACAACAGCCTGCAATTACTGGAATAGAGAGTCTAGGTCAGAGGTCGGCAAACTCATTAGTCAGCAGAGCAGCAAACCTTGGCTTGCGAGCCACAGTTTGCCGACCACTGCTCTAGGACCGTGTGCTGACGGCGGCGCTGGGACAGAGGTAAGGATGGAGGTGTTATTTGAATAGAGGAACAGACTGGCCCTAGCTGGTTTGGCTCAGCAAAGAGAACGCCGGCCTGCAGACTGAAGGGTCCTGGGTTCGATTCTGATCAAGGGCACGCACCTCAGTTACCGGCTCAATCTCTGGCCCTGGTCAGTGGGGGGCGTGCAGGAGGCAACCAATTGCTGCATCTCTCTCATCATTGATGTTTGTATCTCTCCCTCTCCGTTTCTCTCAGAAATCAATTTTTAAAAAATATTGTTTTGAAAAAATGAAAGAGGAACAGACTCTGCGAGGTAAAGAAGAGAAACAAGGGTAGGGAGTCCCGGAGGGCAGGGGCAAAGGCGAGGGGGAGGGACAGGGCAACACGGAAAAGCACTGGGTCCGTCTTCCCCTGAGGCTGACTCCCAGGAGCGAGGGAGGACGTAGCCCATTTTGGGGGTGGTCCTCAAGGCCTCGAGGGTCATTGATGCCAACCGACACCCTGAGAACTGAGCGGAGGGAGTGGCATTGGCTTGGACTGAGTTGTGTTGGGCTGGACTGGCGTGTAGAAGGTCTGCCCCGTGGTGCCAAGCTCAGTGCCCGGGGGAGACCCTGGAGGGCAGGGCCAGGAAGGAGGAGGGGGGGCATGCTGCTCACCTTGAGGTCCCCGGAGATGTTGGCCCCCGCCAGGATGCCGGTGGCCGAGGGGAAGAAGATGGAGAACATCCCGAAGAAGCTGCCATCCGGGCCCCGCCAGTCGGGCACCAAGTTCTGGACGAAGATGTCCCCTGGGAGAGCGGGGCCTGAGTCAGGGCTTCCCCGTCTCGCTGGGCCCGGCCGGGAAGGGAGGGCATGCCCGTGGCAGCTCCTGGCCGTGGAGCCGGGATCCCGTCCTCCCGGGGCCCACAGAATAGCCTGTCCCTGTGCCCATTGGCGGGGCCCCCTCACGTACCCCGGTAGCTGAAGAAGCCCCTGGAGGCCTTGTCCTCGGACGGGGGGATCAGGGTCCCCACCAGGTAGTTGGCGAAGGAGACCATGATGACCATGAAGAAGAGCACCTGGGCCTGGGACAGGACCCAGAGGTCAGAGGGCCTGGCCCCCCCTCTTGAGGGCACCCCAGCGGGAAGAGCCTGCTCAAGGTCTCTCTCTCTCTCCCTCTCCCTCCCTCTCACTCTCTCATTCATTCACTCGTTCACTCATTCATCATCACGCTGCAGGCTCTCTTCTAGGACTTGATGCTCGCACAAGGCTCTGGTCTTGCTGAGAGAGCAGGAACGGGAATCCAGAGTGAGAACAGGGCTGTGGCAGGGACTGGGCCGGGGGCCACTTGAGGCCAGTGTCGCTGGAGGTCAGAGCGAGGGGGCGAGAGGAGAGAAGGTGGGGCCAGGTCCGGCCAGGCCTGCCTGCCATCGATTCCTAGTCAAGAGCAACGCCCGGGTTGCAGGAGGCAGCCCATCAATGATCGTATCGCATCATTGATGTTTCTCTCTCCCTCTCCCTCTCCCACTCTTTCTTCCTCTTCTTCTCCCTTCCTCTCTCTGAAATCAATAAAAACTTATATTAGAAGAAAGAGGAGGAGGAGGAGGAGGAGGAGGAGGAGGAGGAGGAGGAGGAGAAGGAGGAGAAGGAGAAGGAGGAGAAAAGGCAGAACTAGGCGCAGGACTGGCTCCCAGCTCCCACGACTCCCATGCGGCACCCCCAGGTCCGCTCTCCCACGTCCAGGCCTCACCTTGGACTCCCACTCCATGCCGGCCAGGGAGATGGCCAGCAGCACGGTGACGGTGACCACGCCGATGATCCTGATGTCGTTGACGGGGTCCACGATGGGCGAGCCGTACTCCTGGGGGAGGGGACAGGCCGCTGCGTGCTGGGCACCGGCCCAGACTCCTGCACTGAGGCACCTCGTTCCAGGTGACCTCTCCCAGGGAGTCACCGACCCACCCCTGCCCTCAGGCCCCCAGAACGGCGGCCGGGGCCTGGGCAAGCAGCCCCCTCAAGGCGGCTCGCAGCCCCGAGGGGGACTCGGGGAGATGGCCTTTCTTGGATGGGATCATCACGGTCGCCCACAGCCCTCAGACCGTGGCCTTGGCCCCTGAGGGTGAAGGCCCAGCCCGCGAGGGGTGAAGGAGCCTGAGAGCGGCGGGGGCTTCCTCTGCCCGGGGCTGGGCCCGGCCTCACCTGGATCAGGTCCCGCACGGTCTCGGCGAAGCCCACCGTGTGCATGGCCACCCCCACCGCGTTGGCGAAGGCGAAAATGAGGCCGATGGAGCCGCCGAGCTCCGGGCCCAGGCTCCGGGAGATGAGGAAGTAGGTGCCGCCTGCGGGGGACAGAGCCGGGAGCCACGACCCCCGGAGTCAGCGGGCCGGGGCGGCAGAGCGGAGGCTGGGAGCGGGGACCGGGGGCTCCAGGGACACGGTGCGGGAGCTGACCCCGGCCGCCCCGGGGGGTGCAGAGCTTGCCCAAACCCCACCCCACCCCCGAGCCCCAAGGAGCCGCCTCGGGCACCCCAGGTTGGTTTTGGGGGGTGAAGACTGGGGGACCTACAGGAGGAGGAGGCGGGGAAAGGCAGTAGGGGGAGAGGAGAGGCCCCACCTGCCTTGACCTTGCCGTTGGTGGAGATGGCCGAGATGGAGAGGCCGGTGATGGAGGTCACCATGACCGACAGCAGGATGATGATCCAGGTCAGGACTGTGGCGGGGGAGGGCGGGAACGCGGTCACCCAAACACTCAGGCGGGGCATTCCCCAGGTAAAGGAGCCACGTGAGAACCCCCGAGTCAGCCCACTGGTGGGCCATGTCACTGAAATCACTTCCCTTCTCTGGGCCTCTGCTTACTCATCCGGAAAATGGCTCTCTGCCTACCTCCCTGGTCCATCAGGAGGCCACTGAGCCAGCACGTAAAGGATCACTGGGCGTGGGAGGGAAGGCACCCTCTTTTAATAATAAACAATAAGGCAACAGTTGCCATTTGACGAGCACCCCTGGGTGCCCAGTCCCATGCTGCTCACGTGCACCTTAGAGACCCCACAATAGGTCTGTGAGGCAGAGACCGTCACCACCACCCCCTTTTACTGGTGAGGAAACCGAGGCTCAGGGAGGCCAAGACACTTGTCCAAGGTCACACAGCACAGCACAGAGCTGGCCTCTGAACGCTGCTCTGGGCAGAGTCTGAGCTGCTGACCCGGGTGCTCTGCAGTAGAAATTGGCTGCAGGAGGTTGAGAGACTTGCTCAGGGGAAGAGCCCGGAGCCTGCTGACTCCGTGTCCTGTGCTCCTCTGCCACCCGCCCTGCCCTCTGTCCCCGAAGGGGCCCAGGGCTCTGCGGCCCACGTTCACGGCCCCTCCCCCTCCCCGCCAAGGGCACTCACCGATGCCCGCCTGCGCCGTGATCCACGGGAGCCGCAGGTAGAGGATCACACCCCAGATGTTGAGCATGCAGCGGATCTGGGAGGAGAGGGGGGTCAGAGGCCACGGGGGGCGGGGGAGGCGGGGAGAGCCCCCAAGGCCAAACACACAAGTCCCTGTGCCCAGTCATGGCACCGCATCAGGCAGCTGGGCCTGGGGGATATGAGGTCCTTTCTCTGCTTTACCCACTTCAATGCCCTCCTGGGTTTGTGGGGCAGGGAGCATGGGCTGCCCGCACACTTCCCTGCCCTCTCATTGGGGCCTGAGAGTGCGCCGCAGAGTCACCACCCTCCCCTGCCCCAAGCCCAGGATCCTGTGTCTGGCAGCGCCAGCCATGGCCCCAAGGGCCAGCCGTTGTGCAGATTCTGGCCTTCGGGGGGAGATGAGCCAGTGCTGGCTGTGCCAATGCCCCACCTACAGGCGGAAACCGGGCCACGCATTGCTGTGACTTCAGCTTCCGAATTTAAAACGGAGCCAGAGGCCTTGGCTGAGGCGGAGGTTCCCGCTGGAAAGCACTGCCCCGGCCAGGTCTTGGGTTGGGACAAAGCATGTGGGAGAGCTCTCAGGCCCTCCATCGGCTCGGAGCTGGTGAACGGGCTGGGGTGTGGGGCTCTGCACTGCACCGACTCCACCGTCCGGGAGGGAGATCCAGAATCTCCACACGTGCCTCTGGGGGTGCTCACGGGTCCGGTGGAGAAACGGGGCACAGCCAGCAGGCAGCGTGGCAGAGGTCAGGTCGGAACCCAGGCCCACCGCCTCCCAAAGCAAGACTAGAGCTTTCTCTTACATCTCATGCCACCCCCTCCCTACGGTCCCCTAGTGTCTTCCAACGCCAAGTTCACGTGTCCCTTTGCTGTCTGGAGACTTCCTGGCGCCCTACACCAGGGCAAGCCTGGCCCCTTCCCATCCTGGCCAAGGAGGAAAACACATTCGTATTATAGATTTGTGTGTTCGGTGCTGCCCTCTGGTGGCCTTTGGGGGGAAATGCCATTTCTTTTACTATAATATCTCCCAGGCAGGCCTTGCTCCAAACGCTTCACATCCATTACAACAGGTTTAATGCTGATTATTTCACCAATAAAGAAACGGAGACACGGGGTTAAGCCACATGTCCAAGGTCACAGGACAAGTAAATAGCCTGTAGGAGATCTGCCTCGGGGCCAGGTCTCCGTCTGGGGAGTAAACGGAGGTCAGGAAGCTCAAAGCCAGAGAAAAAGGTGAGGTCACTGTGCAGATGGGGAAACGGAGGCGCGAGGTGGACTGAGGCCTGAGGGTCAGAGCTGGGGCTGGGCGGGGCGCCGCCTCCCCACCCTCGGTCCCGGACGTCCTGGTCACAGCCACTCACCATCACCCCCTTGACCCAGCCGAAGCGCACGGGCTCCTCCCGGCTCTTCTCGCCGCCGGCGGCGCCCGCTTCCTCCTCCACCAGCCCGTCCGTCATCTCGTGGCCGGGCCGGCTGTCGAAGGCCAGGGCGTGCAGGTGGCTGCCTTCCTGCTGGCAGCGCAGAGACCGCGGTGAGGCAGGCAGGCAGGGGCCAGGACAATGCAGCTCCCACCTCTGCCCTCCACCCTCTGCCCGCCCCCCCGCCACAGCCCAGCCTCCCAGGCAGCAAACCCAGCGAGGCTCTTCCCCGCTGCAGACCTTCCCTCCCTCCTCTCGCCACCTCTTCCAGGTGTGTGCAACCTCTGCTTGCATGCTTCCACGGACGGGGAGCTCACTCCCTTTCCGGGCAGCCCTCGTCTGGGCGATGGGGCTGCCAAGGACCGGGCCATGCACATGATAGGTACCCGGACCTTCCCACTCCTGGGTCTAGCGTCCGTTTGGGCCTGCTCCGGCTGTCACCTCATCCTCACGGCACGGGGGGCAGAGCCGAGCGAGGCTCAGAGAGGGGAGGTGCCTGGGCCAGGTCGCACAGCCGGGAGGCGGCCAGTCCTCGGAGGCGATGCTCACCTTGAGGAAGGAGTGCAGGTCGGCCAGCGTGGGCCGGGCCTTGCGGGGCTGGCCGGGCAGGGCGCTGTTGGCATAGTGCTCGTAGGCCGGCACCACGTCGATGGTGTTGTAGCCGAAGGTGCGCATGTACAGGGTGCTGCCCTGGGTCAGGTGGCTGGGGTGGGTGCTGTCGTAGGCAGCTGGCGGCGGCGGCGGCGACTCGTCGCTCCCCAGCAGCGTGCTGATGGTGAAGCGCCCGCTGCTCAGCGTGGGGTCCCCCGGCGTCTCCGACCCCGGCAGCTCGGCCATGGCGGCTCTGGGTGGCAGGGGCAGGGGGGCCAGGGTCGGTGGGGACACGCCGGGTGGCTTTATAGGCTGGGCCCGCAGCAGGGGGAGGCGGGGAGGGTGGCCTGAGCCGCCCACGGCTGGCGAGCAGGGCCCCGGGATTGGGTGAGAGGCAGAGCACGTGCCCCTTCTGTCCTGCCCACACGTGGACCCGGAGGTAGAGCCCCGAGGGCTGGGTGTGCAGGTGGCTAGCGCCCTGCCCCCTGGAGGGAGGCCCACCCGGCTCCCCCAGCTCCCGGCTGCAGGCCTGAGGCTCTGGGTCCGCACAGCAGCTCCCTCCGCCCCCAGGAGGCTGCATCCTTCCCTCCTCCCCGAGGTCCCAACCCCAGAGCCCTCCCTGGGGGCGCCCTGCACTCTCCCTCTGAGTCCGCTTGCCTCCTGGGCCTGGGCGGCCTGCAGGCTCGCAGAAAACCACGGGTCTCCCGTCACCCCTGCCGGGTGTGTTTGCCCCTCTCGGCCGTGCACCCAGCAAACCTTTAAAGCCCACCCACCCGGCCACGGGTGGGCGACAGGAGCCGGGAACGTGGGTGGCGGGCGCTGTGATCACCAGTGGAAACTGGCCGGGCGGGCTGTGTGGGGAGGGGGGCGGCCACAGGAGAGCCAGGACCGGGGGCAGGAGGTGACAGGGGCCTCCAGGCCACCGCCTGCTCCAGGCGTCTGAGCTGGGCTCGGCTCAGGCTCGGGCTCCGGCCATCCTTGGGGGGACGTGGAGGGACACCCTTTCCCTCCCGGCGTCGCCTCTCAGACCCTGGTTCTCAGAGGTCACAGAGGTCACCAGAGGACCAGCCCCGAGATGCCCAGCCTCCCTGGGACGCCACGGCTCCGGCAGCAGGGGGGCACCGTGGACGGAGGACTCGCCCCTCGCTCCGGGGCCAGAGGGCCAGCACAGGAGTGCCAGCTGCGAGCCGGGCAGGCGCAGGTGGCAGCGCGCGGGCTGTTGGAGCAGCAGCCGTGTGAGGGTGTCACCCTCCGGGGCGAGATGTCTCAGTGGAGCCCGGGAGCCCCACAGAACCGTGGGCACGTTTTTCTACCCAAGGGCCTTTTTCTGGGGTTTCACCCGACGACGTGCTGGAAGGCCAGCCCTCAGGGGCGCAGACCTGGGCCTGTCCCGTTCCCGGATGAGCCCAGGCAACTAAAGAGCGCTGAGGAGGTCCTCAAAAAACGCCAGAGGGTCCAGGCCACCGAGGGCACAGAGCAGCCAGCGGCCACAGGAGGCCGTGGCGGACGGAATCACCCCAAGTGGGGGTCAGTGCAAGGGGCGGCTCCTTGGGGGAGGGGGGGGTCTTCAGCCGGGCGTGGGGATCACAGGATATGGTCACTGTGCATCTGTTATGTGTTAATTTTTTAAAACAGACTTCTCAGGGGCTCCCCTTCCTGACCCCCCGCTTGCCTACCTCCTTCCCGGGAGTCCCAGCCCCTCCTTGGGGAGGCCTCCCTCGGAGTGCGCCCCCACCCGCGTGACAGCGGCCAGCCGGCCGCTGGGGCCAGGACCCCAATCACGGTCAATGTTCTACCTTCCACCCCCACCCCACCTGGCGGGGCAGTTACTCATTCGCTCCCTCAGGGCAGATCTTATCGCCCCCTCGCCCTTAAACTGCCACCCAGCACCATTCCTCCACACCTGGGCCTGCAGAAGCTGTGGAAAATTCCCGATTAAGATCTCGGGAGAGGGGGGGTCAGAGCGGCCAGGCAGGTCTCCAGCAGCCCTGGGGCCGTGGGCAGAGCGAGGGGCAGATTGGCTGGGTCACCCTGGTGACCTCTTCCCCCCTCCGAGATGCTCCAAGGCCCCTTCAAGCCTTTCCTGCCCCCCCCCCCATACCCCACGGGGGCGGGGAGGGGTCTAAGCAGGACCCCGCCAAGGGCTCCTCAGTAGAACAGGCTGGTGGGACTGGAGGAAGCCCTTGTGCCAAACCACAGAGCCCAAGAAAGGGGCTCCTGCACGGAGACCTGCCCACAGACACACTTTATTTATTTATTTAAAAATATATTTTATTGATGTTTCACAGAGAGGAAGGGAGAGGATACAGAGTTAGAAACATTGATGAGAGAGATACATCGATCAGCTGCCTCCTGCACACCCCACACCGGGGATGTGCCCTCAACCAATGTACATGCCCTTGACCGGAATCGAACCTGGGGTCCACAGGCCGATGCTCTATCCACTGAGCCAAACCGGTTTCGGCCAGACCCACTTTTTTAAAAAAATATATTTTTATTGATTTCAGGGGGAAAGGGAAAGACAGACAGAAATATCAGTGATGAGAGAGAATCATTGAGCGGCTGCCTCCTGCACGCCCCCCTCCCCCACTGGGGATCAAGCTTGCAACCCGGGCATGTGCCCTGACCAAGAATCGAACCTGATTCATAGATGGATGCTCAACCACTGAGCCACACTGGCCAGACTCCCCCCCCCCCCCCCCGACCTCCTATTTGATGGGGACACCGTGCTGAGTCCGACACAAGTCCCAGGACTACAGCTGCCAGGGGGTCCCCAGAGCCCTCAGGTCTGAGACCCGGGACCCCGAACCAATGCACTCGGCTGAGCAAAGCCCTGTGACCGGCCATGGGGGCGGGGGAGGGGGGCTCTCAGGCTCCGTCTCAGCTCTTGGCCTTACCTGACCCCGGGGGGCCTTGGCTTTCTCGGCAGCAAAATGGAAATGCCACCCACACCTGTCCGCCAGGGCTCACCTGTCCAGGGTCACCTGCCCCGGCCTAGCGTTTTTCAGATTCCCTGCACCGTCTCCCCATCCTCAGGACGGAGAACAGGGGCAGCAGAGGGCGCGGAAAGCCTCCCGGTCAGAAAACCCCTAGAGACGAACACTCTAGACACGGGGACCGGCTGCCACCTCTGAATCCCAGCGTCTCAGAGGCACCTCAGCATTGGTTGTGCCCCTCCTGTGTACCCGGCCCTGGGACTCACAGCCTAGCCTGGCAGACAGACTGGCAGAGGGGGACAGTGCCCAGGAGAGAGAGGGGAGCTGGGCAGGGGGGGAAGGGGGAGGCTGGGCACCGATGGAGGGCATTCTGGGGAGCGGGGCTCAGGAAAGATGTGGTCGGTGCCAGGGAAGAGGTATTGGGGTGGGAGAAGAGGGGGCGACAGGGTGGGAGCTGAGGCTGGAGGGGTCCTATCGCGTCTTCATTGACACGCATTTATTGAGTGCTTCCTGCATACCCTGCGCAGCCTGTATGGGGGAACAAGAGGCAGGCCCTGCCCGCCTGGAGCTCACATTCTATTATAGTGGGAGACACGGACAGCCGGTGAAGGAGCAATCATGGTGACACAGTCAGCGATTGAGTGCTACGAAGAGAACAAAGCTTGCTTTGTGTGTTTGCCCTTAGAGGAGGGGCATTCAGGCCCCTCTGAGAAGGAGACACTTGAGCTGAGCTCCCACAGGGAGAAGCCACCCGTGTGCCAGCGGGTCTGAGCACAGGGGTTCGGGACGGAGGTGGGGCACGTGCAAAGGCCCTGGGGCAGGCGTGTGGTGTGGGCGGGCTCCTGCGGCTGGAGCAGAGGGATGGAGGAGGTGGGTCTGAGACACGGGAGGGGGAGCACTGGGCCTTCCAGCCAGCCTTAGAAGTTCCACGCTCTCCGGCGTGATGGTCAGATTTATGTTTTTCAAAGATCCCTTTGGCCACTGTGTGGGGAATGGGCTGAGGGAGGCAGGACCAAGGGAAGACTGGTGGGGGGCCAGGGGGCAGCTGTGGGTGGCGGTCGCTGAGAAGCGGTGGAGCCCACAGACCAGCCCACGGATTCGTGAGGGGCGGGGGCCTCTGGAGAGGAAGGGAGTGGGAGGACACCACCGGGAAGCAATGGTCTCACTTCTGGAACCGGAGAAAAGGGCCGTGAATGCCGAGGCCGGAGCCCCGCCTGGTCCTGGGTGTGGGATCCCTTCAATTCCCCGGAAGCTGGTGTGGTGAGCAGGGCAAGGCAGACAGAACTGGCCAGGGACGGCCGGGGAGGGGCTACGGCAACAGGCAGCAAGGACAACAGCCTCGTCAGGAAGCCTGGGGCTCCGCCCTAGCTGCACACAGATCTGAGGATCACGGGGCCACCCCACACATGCTGGTTCCCGGGCCCCGGCGGGAGCTCCTGTAAACGCGGGCGGAGGGACCACATCAGCATGCTGGGAACGCTCCCCGCGGACACTCGCCAAAAGGACACTGTCACACAGACGCCCCGGCCCGCCCCGGCCCCGGGCTGCGTCCTGGTCCCTCGAGGCTCCTGGAGAGGATGGGTAGGATGCAGCCCTGGTGTCGTGAAATAGCCGGGTAAGAGGAAGCGTGTGCGTCGGCCTGATTCACAACACCAGCTGCAGCAACCGTACCAGAACTGCGCCGCTGCTCCAGGCGAGGCTCCTCCGGACGGGCGAGGCTTCCTGCTTCCATCTCCCCGGCCCCCGGCCCCACGACGGCCGGGTCCCTGCCCACGGGGGGCTCACAGGCTGGATGGCTCCGGGAAGAGGGGAGCAGACACAAACCTGGGCAGGGCAGCAGCAGGGCAAGGGGGGGGGCACACTGGAGGGACCAGGCCCGGGGAAGGCCTGGGGAGCTGGAGGCTGGATGGCAACCTCCCCAGCCACCAGGGCCAGGTCGCGGGGCTTCTCCTGAGCCTGGCCGACCACGGAAGTGTGTCTGCGGCATTCCCGGCCCTCCCACCTGGACCGTGGGGTAGCCACTGGACACGGAAGGGCCTTAAAGCTACAGGCAGCCAAAGCCAAAAGGCTTGGGACCGGGCCTGGTGCGTTAACACGTGTTCGTTGTTAACAGAAGGACCCCTGAGTTGTGTTTTTTTTTTCTCTCTCTCTCTCTCCACGATCAGACTTGCTTTTTACAACCTATTTAGCCGACCTTCCCTCCACAAGTAAATGCAGGCATTGGTATCGGAGGGGAAGGTTCTGGGGGACACACCGAGGGCAGGGCGTGCTCACTACCACCCCTTAGGAGCACCTCGTTCACCGGAGGTG